GTGGCAGTTCCAGTGGAGGTCTGTGCGGCATGCAGGTGCTCAGGTCCCTCGAGAGCCCCGCCTCCTTTCTTGATGCTTGTGGATTGACAGGCAGCCTTATGGCACAGACATCTCTCCTCATGGCTACTGACCGATGCTGTCGGCCTAATCGCCTTGATGCTTTCTTCAAAACAAAGCATGTACAGAAAGCCTCAGTGAGAGCCCTCTCTTCCCGCTTTTCTGACCTGCCATTCTTCAGCCCTGTACGTGGGCCTGACTGGAAGTCTTTAGTCTCTGGTCCAGGTTGCCCCACGGTCTCCAGGCCAGTGGCTCACTGCCACAAAGAACTGGCAACTGGTTTCCTGAGCATGCTGTCCCTTGGGAGTGTGAAATCCCGATGCAGAACTCCCAGGTGGATGTGATTTGGGATTGAAGTGTGTTGTTACCAGACCAGGCTGGGCCAGTATACCCAGGTGTCATATGATGTGGCTGTTCTGAGCCCTCTGGGACTTGAGAAGACTGGCCCCCAGGCTGTCCAGGATGTACGTGGCTGAGAGAGACGAGAAAGAAAGTGGGATCCTCTGGCTGTGCCAGTTACCTTGGGACAGGTCTTCCTGTAGGCTGAAGACAGTGGGAGCAGGCCTTGATCCTTGTTCAGTCTGGAACACTGGCTATGCATGAGCTGAGTGAGCGTCAGGCTGGAGGGAGAGCCCTTCTCTGCTGTGACCTTGGCTGCTTTTGAACAGGACCAGCAATGATGGATTTGGCATCTTTGCTACTGTTTGAGTGGAGAGATACTGAGCCCCCCAGTGGGCCTTGCAAGTAGGCCAACCCAAGCCTTATTGGTAGTCTGTGTCCCATTGCTGCTCACTGGGGAGGGCCAGAATCTGGTGACATGCCCTGGCCCTCAGGAACCTCGAGCTTTCCTTTCTCCAGTGTCCCTACAGTCCCCCGAGGCACCACAGGCAGGCTGACACTCTGTCACTGATGCGACTTTATGCTCATGCTCAATGCAGCTGATTTAGCCTAAAGAAGCAGCCTAGGAAGCCATGGCCAGCCCTTCCCCAGCCTCCTGTGTATCTGAGCAAAGGCAGCGTGAGCAGGGACCCACAGCTGCCCCCACTGGCAATGTCCATGTCCCCAGGCCATTCCCTCTTGGCCTGTGTTTCTCTGAGGGTCCCTCACAGGTCCTGAGTGTCCCCACAGAATGGAGAGGTTCTCCAGGCATCGCTGGCAGCCTCCCGGGATAATAGGGTGACCCCCTGGACCTGCTCTGCACTAGACATGGGTGTAGGTGTATCCTCTAGACAGTCCGGGCATCCAGGACAGTCCTTTGGGACCAGACCCTGTCACTGTTCCCATCATCCAAACGAGGCCCAGCATAGGAGTGTCGTTTATCCTAAGCCGTACAGCATGTGGGATTCAGGCCCGCACAGCTGCAGATGGGCTCCGGTTCCCAGACGTGCAGAGACCCAGGACCATAGATGGGAGTGAGGGAAGGGAGCCCCTCCTGTGTGAGTGGGCTTCACATTTCCCTCTCCCTGCCCCTCCTCCGTCCCACCCAGTGTCCTCCCATGACAGCCTGCAGCTGGCAGGGCTGGTGCCACCCACGCTCTCCTGTCCCCTGCTTAGTGGCTCCTCTTGCTTGCCACCCCAACCCCCCTGCTGTGAGTCACCTCTGCCAGGGAGCAGGTTGGGGAGGGGAGCACACAAGTGGAGAATTGGGGGAGGGGAAGGTGCACAGAGAGGGCAGAGGATCTCAACCTTATCTCTAGAGAAAGGGCAAGGAAATGAGAGTCACTTACAGAGAGTACTACAACTGTCACTTCAGCTTGTCCTTTGGGCCCGCTGCGTCCCTGGAGCCACACCCTGAGTGTCTCTGGGATCAAAGGTGGGCTGTCCCTCCTGTCCCCAGCCTCCAGCTTGCTACTGCTGCCTCTCAGTCATTTTTGGAATTAAACAGGTTGTCACCTGTAATGCTCCCAGATGGTGCCTGTCATGTGGCAGGTGCTTCAGAAGGACGCGTCACATGCTGTGGCCCGGCTGCCAGCACCTGGGGGCAGGCCCTGCCTCTGTCATCTTTAGGGCAATGGACACTAGTTCTGTCACCTGTCTAGTGACAGCACAGAATAGCTCCGTTCTGCTCCCCGAACCCTGAGGGATTCGCATCTGCTCCCAAAAGCTGTTGGAATAGTCCCTGGATCTGGAAGGCAGCTTGAGCTTTAAGTCGTACACTGTCCTTTCCAAGGGCAGTAAAAGGGGTTTGCATTGGTCCCGTTTCTGCAACTGGGTGATGCAGACTGTCTGGGGTCTTACCGTGGTTTTCATGGGGCCACGGGGTGAGGGAGGAGGGAAGCTTTGTCACCGGGCTCTTGGCTGCTTTGCTTATGCCTCTGTAGCGACATTCGCAAGGACACAGACTCTTCAGTGTGTGGAGGCTGCAGAGGATGCAGGCCAGGGCTTTGTCACAGCCCTTGAACATGGAGGAGAGGCCTTGGCTTTGAGGCTGAACTGGGTCACCTGCTCTGCTGGTGCGGGGGAGGAGGGGTGCATCCTGTGTGGGGGAGGGGGCTGCCTCACCCTGCTGTGAGTCACTTAGCATGGGTGTGCAGGCTCTGTTATGAGCTGCTTCTTCTCCCAGGTCCCCTGATGGCCTGGGCCTTGCTGACGCTCAGCCCTGGGCCCCACACATGAGCTGAGCTCGGAGACACCTGAGGTCTGTATTTGACTGAGTAGACAACCTAGCAAGTCAGGTAGGCCTGCATACTGAGATCATGGCAGAATCACCTAGAAAAGCTTCCAGGCCTCGGCATTCCCGAGGGTGGCATCTCGGGACACGGCACTATCATTAGAATTCAAGCAGGCGGGTGGATAATTGCAGGCTCCGCTTTAGTGAAAAATTTGAGTAAAATTGTGTTGGGTATTTTTTGTTTTGTTATTTTCTGATAAGTACTTTCATGGGAGTGTGATGAATGCTGCATTCTATCTGAGGGGTGTTCCTCTGGCAGGAGGAATAAATAGCGCGTCTTTTGCCTGAGTTTCCCTAATCAGCCCCCTGGGTTAGCAGGTGTGTAATGTGTGTGTGTGCATGTCTGTGTGTGCCGCTGCCAAAGGAAATGAGCCAGCTTATCTACAGCCCCCCTAGGTGCCCTTTTCTTGTTTGGGGTGCAAATTCCCATCTCGTGTTTGAGCTCCTAATAGGCGATGGGACCCAGGAACTCCGTCTCCGAGAGAAAAAGATGGGGTTGCTCCCCATCACCCCCACGCACCCTTCCTCTTCTGTTGGCCCTCCACAGGGAGCTGGAGTACAGGGTGGATGATCTCCTTGAAGGCATGGGGAGGCCAGGGCTTTTGGCGACAGCGGGCTGAGGCCTGGCTCTGGGGAGGAAGAAAGCCTTCCCAGTATGTTCCAATGACCTGCCTGTTGTAGGCATAGCTGCCCTGTTTCCACAGCAGTCCATACCCTAGACCACGTGGATCCCACTTCAGGCATCCAACCAGAGAAGACTCAGCCAGGCCTGAGTTCCCGCAGGGACAACTTTCTCCAGCACTGGGGACCAGAGACCCGAAGACTCCTTTGCACACCTCCCAAACAGCATTTTGTAACGGGTGCCTGCGGTCTTCCTTTCTGTCAGTCCCAGGGAGTTCCCATAGTGAGGAAGGCACCCCTCTGAGATCTGGATTGGCACATTCATTATGGGCTCGCCATTCTGGGAGGGGCTCAACACTCAGCAAGAGGTAGGGTTCAAAATACCAGCTCCACCCCCTCCCTGTCCACCCCCTCCCAGTCTTGGCAGGGAGGCAGCCGCTGTCCTTAGTGCTAGTGCTGAAAAGCCTGCCTTTTTTTTCCTTCTTCACCTACATACGCACGCACACACATGCACGCGCGCACGCACACACACACACACACATGCGCGCGCGTGCGGTTTTGCACAGCAACAGCACTAGTTAGCAAGATAGGGTGTGCATGAGCTGGAGCGAGAGCTGCGGTTTCCTTCCTGCCCGGCATTCCACTCTGAAGCTGAGGCTGAGGCTGTGGCCAGGTATAGGCCTCCCTTCGAGACAGGGGGCTTTTGGGGCTTTGCTATTGCTATCTCGATCTGCCTTTTTTTTTTAAAGATTTCATTTTATTATTATCTTATTGTGTGAATGTTTTACTTGCATATATGTCTATGTACACACGCATTTGTGGTGTCCTCAGAGGCCAGAAGAGGGTGTGGGATCTCATGTTACTAGATTATAAACTGCTGTGAGCTGCCATGCGGGTGCTGGGAATCGAATCCTGGTCCCCTGGAAGAGCCCTTAACCACTAAGCCACCACTCCAGCCCCTCGATCTGTTCTTAAAAGCCTCCTGGCACCTTTGTTTGGAATGTAAAACTCTGGCTAGTAAATTGTTCCATCTTTGGGGGCTCTAAGGAAGGTGTGATAGAGAAGCAGTCAGGACCGCTGGCCCTGTTGGGAGGAGATGGGTATTCGGCAAGTGAACCAACTCTCAGTCCTTCTGAGAATGATGATCCAGATGTCTGATGGCTGCTTGTCTCAGAGCCAGATCTATGTCTGGCGGGGCAAGCAAAAGCAGTGGGCTCTGGCCTCTGAGGACACATGCCTGCTGCCACCTGGCAGACACATTGTTCGACAGGCCCCACAACTAGCTAGGAGCAGAATCAGAACAGTAAATGAAAGATTCAGTCAGTGTGCCGCTAACAGAATTCCTGTTCTTTACATTATTGGGACCACTCTCGGCCCAGAGTTACGTGACTCACTGCCTCCTATGTGTGTCTCTGTCCCAGACACCAGTTCTTTATGGCTCTAGGTACCCACACCTGTCCTCTTCCTTGCAGTCAGCCAGGTGGGTGCCCCAGAGGCCAGGCAATGGGTGGACTCCTTCATCAAACCCCCTGGGTAGCCTCTTGTTTGGTGGCTGCTATACACACACACTTGGGGACCTATCCTGATGTGGCAGCCGTGAGTCCTCAGCTGCTGAGAAACGAGGTGATGCCTTGCCCTTTTCTGTTGCCAGATCACCAGAAACTGGAGAGAGAGGCTCGGATCTGCCGCCTGCTGAAGCATTCCAACATTGGTGAGCAGCCCAGAGGGGGGCAGAGTGGGTGGTTCTGAGAATGCCTACGGAGATATTTAGCACACAGAACCTGGGGCCAGTGACCTATGCAAGCCCCACACATGGGGTGAGGGGTCCTGCCAGGACGGTAGACAAGTCTCTCAGCCCCGTTTACCCACAGCCTCCACAGATGGGAGCCAAGACAGGACAGTCAGGATGCTGGCTCCCCTCCCAAATCTTGGTCTCCAGAAAGCACAGCTGCTCTGCCTGTCAGTTCCCTTCCTAAAGCCCAGACAAATGTTCAAGGAGCTGCAGGGACCAAGGTTGTGCTGACCTGGAAAGGCGGCTCAGATCTCCCTAGGCCACCCAGTCCTTCCGTTGCTATAGGGAGGCCCTTGCTATGTATGTACACCCATAAGTGCCTGTTCTCCCCAACTCTGGGCCCTCTGGAGTTGAGGAAGAGTTTGGGAGCTCGGATCTTACCCATGCTGGGAAGTAACTGGGGAAACCTTGGGTGTGGCTGCCCACATCTACAGATGAAGCGCTGGCTGACCTCAGAGACCCTGGGAGTTATCTGTGGATTCCTGGGCTTTTCCCCCCGCAAAGATTCAGTTTTACTGGGACACAGCCCAAGAACACATTTTAAAGGGATCCTCAGGGACTTTGAGGAGTGGCCGGATTGGGAACCTGGCTTCTACATCTCTTTCCAGCCCAGGGGCTGACAGGGAAGGTTAATCTGCTGGGGGAGTGTGGGAGTTCCTGCTGCTGTCCTGCTCCCAGGTGCTGGAGGTCTGCACCTGGCCACCTGCCCACACCGAGAGCTGTCCCGGGAAGAGCTGGTTGGGGAGAGCTACAGCCTCCATTTCTGAGCCCCTCTGGGTCTCAGCTACCAGTTGATCCATCTTAGCCTCTTAGTTTCAGAACCTTACCCTCTTTTGTTTGTTTTTTTGAGACAATGTCTCACTATGTAGCCTAGGCTGGTCCCAAAGTCACTCTGTAGACCAGACTGTCCTTGAACTCCTGGAAGTCTACCTGCCTCTACCTCCCAGGTGCTGGAATTAGAGGTGTGCACCACCACGAACCTCACCCTCTTGACCTCAAGGTGCCTGGGCCTGCCCTGGAGATCTGACTCTGGGGTCTGGGGAGGCCTGGGAACCTGTATCTCGGCAGTGCCCATGGGACCGCTGGGCTGCTGGGTGTCTGCGGCTCAGTGTCAAGAGCCTGTTACCTCACTACTGGGTACAGCATCTCTTCTTGGGGATCATGGGTGATGGCCCAGCTCCACCAGTACCTCCAAGCCCACACTTACCTAACTGTGCAGCAACCAGGAGCTATAAATCTTTCTGTGTTTGCATGACTCCTTATTTCGGTAAGTGGGGCCCCAGGTGTGTTTTAGGTTGCTGTTTTGTTTGGTTCTTCAGTAAGACATCTCCCTGACCTGGCCAGAAGCCTGGTGTGCTTCTGGGTGAGTTCCAAGCAGTGGCTTGGCTCCAGCTTCCCTTGTGGACTAGGGAGAAGAGACCTCGAGAAGTCCTTTTACAGCAGCTTTATTCCAGTCAGGTTAGGACCACAAACCGGAACATTCCAGGACACAGACCCAAGGCTGTGGGGCTCCTGTGGAGTCCTCTCTGAAGAGCTGGGGGCTCTCTGACGAGGTGAGGGGGAATCCCAGCCTACCCTCAGCCTTCTCTTACTCCCATCCCCACTTCTAAACAGAAAGCTGTTCACAGGCCACCCTGAGACCATGAGCAGGTGCTGGGGACAGGTGGGGCGGTAACTCTGGGCTGGGGGTAAGTCTGGAAGCAGTGTGTGGCAGGCTGAGGAGGGGAGGGACCTCTGTCTCCCCTCAGATAATGGAAATGGCCCCTGCCACTCTCCCAGGGACCTGGTGGGATGAGCTGAGAAACAGTATAGAACAAAGCTCCCCCTTGGGAAGCCCCTTCTGTCCCCAGGCCTGAACTAAGGCCCACCCACACGCTTCAAGCAGACTTCTTATTGGCAGAAGGGCTTCTTTTATAGAGTGGCTTCACAAGCATAGCATCCATCTGTCCTGCAGCAGACAGGCTGAGTTGTCCCAGCATCTGCTCTCAAGAGCAACTGGTAGGGTGCAGGCCTCCACGGAGCTTGTGGGACCCCTCCAAAGTGCCCCTGTGTGTCCTTGGTCCAAGAGTTACTAAGAATTCCACAGCAGGGCTGGAGGGATGGCTCTTAAGAGCATGTGTTGCCCTGCAGAGGGCCCGAGTCGGACTCCCAGCATCCCTGTGGCAGTGCACAACCACCTATAATTCCAGTTCCAGGGAATCCAATGCCCTTTTCTGGCCTTTGTGAATACCAGGTACACACTTGGTATACATAGCTACATGCAGGCAAAACACGCATAAAATAAAATATTTTTTTAAAAAGAAAAAGATTAGCATAGGTAATGCCCAGGACACGTATGTATGGTGAACAGGCCCAGCATAGGCAATGCCCAGGGCACGTATGTATGGTGAACAGGCCCAGCATAGGTAATGCCCAGGGCACGTATGTATGGTGAATACAGCCAGGGCTGTGTCTACCAAGGGCTTGACTGGAACCTCAGAATTAATTTTCAAGATAGCTCCTTTTATGATCTCAGTTTCTCTCCATAAGTGTCTGTCTCCCCAGAGCCATGCTAGCATCATTGCGACATGGCAGCCAGCTCCTCCAAAGCCAGGGATGACAGAGGGAGAGAGTGTTCGTCAGCCTCCATTGCTGTGACAACATACCTGAGCTAACTAGCTTACAAAGAGGAGCATGCTTTAGGTCACCGTTACAGGGATGTCAGTCCAGGAACTGACAGGCAGCTCAGAGGGTCGAGTACTTACCTATCAGAGAAGCCTAGGTTCAGATCCCCAGGTCCTGTTTGATGCCAAGCAGGCGGAGTGGCCAGCCTGCAATCCCAGTGCTCAGGAGGTGGGGACAAGGGATGCCCAGAGCAAGCTGACTGGATGAACCCATGAGTTCCGGGTTCAAGTGAGAGACCCTGCCTCATATTAAGGCTGAGAGTAATTGAGGAAGACACCAAGTGTCAACCTCTGGTCTCCATATGTAACCACACACATACCTGTGTCCCCCACATGTGTGTACATGAACACACACACACAAAGTCACAGCCCATGATTGCTTGGCCTGGTTGCTTTGGGCCTGTGGAAGAAGAATATGTCAGAAGATAAGTGTTCACCTCACACATGGCAGCAGGGGAACAATGGGTAGAGGAGATGGGGGTCTCAAGGTCACCTTCAGGAACACATCCCCCCCGATCTAACTTCCTCTCACCTGGCCCACCCTTTAAGGGAGCCATCTCTCAGTAGCAGCCTGTGCTGGAATCAAGCCTTCAACATGTGGGTCTTTGGAGGACACTTCCAGACACAATCTACAGAGACAAAACAGAGAAAAGGAGGCAGGTGTGAGACAACAGAGAGACACAGAGAGATGCGCACTTTAAAAGTTACGACACAGCAATACATGACAGTGTTCCGCATAGATGCAGGCCTGTGGCTTTAACTACACCTGCAGTGCAGGGGCCCACCCTTCCCGCCCATACCCAGACCTTTCTCCTCTTGCCCATCAGCTTCGCCCTTGTTAAACAACTCTCCAGTCCCTTCCTCCTGTCCCTGGACCTGACGTTTTGCTTCTGTGTCTGTGTCTGATGACGCAAAGCCTCCTAGAGATGGAGCCATCCGTGGTCTGTCCTTCCGTGACTGGCGTATTTCACTGAGGGATGGTTTTTAGGGTTGTCTTTGTCAGAATTTCTCCTCCTCCTCCTCCTTCATCTGTGTAGCTCCCTGCTGTCCTGGAACTCACTCTGTAGACAGGGCTGACCTTGAACTTAGAAATGCGTCTACCTCTGGCTCCTGAGTACTGGGATTAAAGGTGTGCGCCACCACTGCCCAGCTAGCCTTTCTTCCTTTTGAAGTCTGAATCATATTCGTTGCGTGGCAGTTCCCACATTTTGTTATCTGTCCATCTCTTGATGGACATTGGGGCAGCTTCTACCTCTTGACCACCGTGAATGGCGCTGTTCTAATGGGGTAGACAGGTATGTGGGTCCCTGCATTCAGTCCCGAGTATACACCTGAGAGCAGTGTTGGTGTCATGTGAACCCCGTTTCACCCTTTGAGGAATCGTGTGCCTTCTCTTGACCTCTGTGCGTGGCATCGCTCCTGTGTACTCTGTTTGAAGCCCACAGGCAGGGCAAGCAGTTCCTGTAGAGGAAATGCTCTATAGAGCTTGGGGTGCATTTTGTAGCCACCATGATGAGTACCCGAGGTTATGGGCCTGGTCCTATCTGCTGAGCTGTCTCACTGTGAATGGGGCTCAGGGCCTCACCCCAGTACCAGCCGTAAAGTAAATCCATCGACCCCCATCTGCCAGCTCCCTAGCCTTTAGACAGGGCTTGGCCATGTGCTTGCTCGAGAATGGTCCAGTCCCAGAGAAGACTGAGAAGGTGCAGCAGCCCTGCATATGGCCTGACCTTGCAGGAAAGATGAAGACTGGAGAGGTCTGCAACAGCAAGAAGCTTTGCTTGGGTCCCCTTCTGGGAAGCAACCCAGCTCATTCAGTCTGTCACCCCAGTCTCTGGACTCCAGGTGTCCTGGTGTCAGCAGAGGGGCCCTCAGAAGCTCAGAGAAGAGCCACAAAACAGAACCAACGGAGAAACATCCTCAGGCCTTAGTAGGGGGGTTCCAATATGGGGAGGAGGTTCCTCTGGAAGAAGCGGAATGAACAGAAGAACCCTTGTGGTCTTGGACCCTGTGCCACCAAGACAGGGTCCCCAGGTGAAGGGACTTGCAGACTAGGTTGGAACAGATTGGTATCTGTGTGACACTTACCCTTGAGCACAGATGGTCTGTGCCTCACCTGGATGTGTCCCTGAGCTCAGCGCCATCCCTCGGGAGGCTTCAGGATTCTTTATTCAGCATTATTCAGTGTTTATAAATGCTTGTCTTGTGCCAGGAGAGGCAGGCAGTCCCAGGTTGCCTCAGGTCACTCGTGAGAGCTGCAGCCAGGGCTTCTGACAGCTAAGCCCACCATTGACACCATGTGCCTGACCTGCCAGAGGGAGCCAGTGCCACTGCGGGTGTTGTCCTTAGCTCCCAGGTGTGGAAGACGGTTCTGCTCGGGAAGGAGCAGGTCCCAAATCCTCCCCCTTGAACAGTGACGGAGACCAGGTGGCGCCTCCACAGCTCCTGTCAGGAGTCCAGGGCCCCTTTTCCTGGATGAGGACTTGCCCTCTGTGCACCTGCTCACTCTCTTCCAGGCCTGCCTTAGAAGTCAGGAAGACCTTTCTGTCTAGTTTTAGGACTGAGGAGTTAAGCAAAGGGGCACACAAAGGATGGAGCCCAGGGAGAAGCCACACAGGTTACAGGAGCTGCAGCCAGGACTTCTGATAGCTAGCTCACTGCTAATGTCACATGCTGACCTGCCTCTGCTGGTCAGGGGAACATGACCAGAAGGACCCCCAAGTCCTCCAGTGTTTGGGTGCCCAGAACGTCTTTGCCCTCACAAGCCACAACTCCAGCTTCACTTAGGAGTCTGGGCCCTCGAGCTCCCCTCAGCAGAAGGGAAAGGAGTCCCAGCAGCAGGAAGCCCACAGTGGAACAGGCAAAGGGACCACTGTACTTCTGTATTCCCCTCCCCTGGGAGACTGAGGTGGGTGTGTTAGCTCCGGGTGAGTTTTGCTGCTGCTTGCCTGACCCACACCCTCCTGGCTGGCTTGGCAAGAAGCCGTGGTGGGCTTACCCCATCCCCAGCTCTGTGTTCCAGCCAGCAGAGTACCATTTACTTTCTGTTCTTGAAGAGATTTTGTCACAGTTCACTTCTTCCTTAGCCTTTCCTGTGAAGTCACAGATCTGATGTGCTGATTAAGGTTTATTAAAAGCTATTAAAATAAACACCTGTTCTTAAAAATGGTGTCCACACCCCTACTCCTTTAATTCCGCACACAGGGCTCTGTAGCTTCTTCTGCTGAAGGAACCTGTGTCCTAGAAAGGAGATGGGACCCACTCGGCCAAGCCTCTTCAGGCTCCAAGCGGGTGGCTGAGGACAGGCAGCCCCACCAACAGGCCTTTCCTGGGGGATAGGGGGCAATGAAGCAACCCTGTCTTAGGGTTTTATTGCTCTGAAGAGACACCATGACCATGGCAACTCTTACAAAGGAAAACATTTAATTGGGGCAGGCTTACAGTCTGTTACTGTCATGGCAGGAAGTACAGCGGCATGCGGGCAGACATGGTGCTGGAGAAGGAGCTGAGTTCTACATCAGGATCCTTAGGCGGCAGGCAGAGAACAGGCTTGAGTGTCTGAGACCTCAAAGCCCGCCCTCTAGTGAGGCGCTTCCTCCAGCCAGGCCACACCTACTCCAATGAGGCCACACCTCCCAATAGTGCTGCTTCCTGTGGATCTGTGGGGGCTATTCCTTTTTTTTTCTTTTAAATATTTATTTATTTATTATGTATACAATATTTTTTCTATGTATATGCCTGCCAGAAGAGGGCACCAGATCTCATTACAGATGGTTGTGAGCCACCATGTGGTTGCTGGGAATTGAACTCAGGACCTTTGGAAGAGCAGGCAATGCTCTTAACCGCTGAGCCATCTCTCCAGCCCTGTGGGGGCTATTCCTATTCAAACCTCTACACACTCCAGGGACCCCGCTGGACCTTCTCTAGGGCAGCATCCTCAGGGATACAGGGAAGGAAGCCCTCCTGTGACTGCCAGAGCCTGCTCTGCTCAGAGTAGTGTGTCCCGGAATGAGGCAGCTGGGGTATCTCAGACAGGTCACCCTGATGGCCCTCACTAGGAAGGAGCCAGATAAATGTGCTTTTTTGGCTCAATCTCAGGAATTTTGTTGGCAGGTCCTAGGAGGCTGCCATCAGGTACCAGGAACTCATCTTGACTTAGGGAGACACAGGTCAGCCTGGACAGAATGGAGGTCCAGTTAGAAACAGGGTGTAGGGGGGCCAAGTAGAATGTATCCATCCTCACTGAGGGGCTCTGATGGCCCAGAGAGCTGACAAGGATGTGGGTCCCAGTGGATGGGTTGGGTAGCGTGGGGTGGGGGAAGCTTTGCTGCCGATCTTAGAGCCAGGAAATGGAGGAAGAAATGGAAAGACCTATGTCTGTTGTGGCTGCTGCCAGGCCACTGCCATGGGCTTCAGAAAGCAGTCCAGGTCCCTAAGTGGCCCCAGACTTGGAGTCTCAGTCATCTGGGGTTTCTCATACCCATATGACAGCGGCAATAATGACAGACCCAGGGAACGCCCACTGTTTCACGTAAGCACATAATTCGTAGCAACCTACGGGCAGGTGTGGCTTCCTCCCACTTTACAGAGCTGCAGACTGAGGCTCAGGTGACTGGAGGGGGGGGGGTCGATTCACACAGGCCACAGAGAGAGTCCCTCTGTTTCCTGACTCTGTGGAGGGCCTGGTGTGTTCTCAAAGATAGACACAAAGTGACGGGTCCCGTGGCGCTAAGGCGCTGGGCCCAGGCTGGGGAGCAGGGCAGTATCAGAGCTCTAGGTATAAGGACACTATCAGGATGGTGCCTGGGATAACCAGCACCCAGAAGAAGGTGCTGGCAGCCAGCTAGAAACTAGGACAGTGGGGGAGGATGCCAGGAGCAGGAATTGTGTGGGCTGTTTTTGCCTGAGGTCCTGGAGCCCTGTGGGACCAGGGAGAAGGTGGCTGCTCTTCACCCTTCAGCCTCGTGGCCCAGTCTTGGGTGGCAGGAGACAGCAGGAACTTAGAGATCCCAAGAGCACACAGACCAGGGCTGGCACTATGTGCTCACTGGAACCAGACCTTGATCCCACAGCCCCACTTCACCCTCCGTGGGCTGTGTACCCTCAGGTGATTAGCCAGACTCTGCCCCTGCCCCCTTGTCTGCAGCCTGGAGGGGTGGTAGGTAAGCACTGGCATCCAGTGCTGGTCTAGCAAAGGGGCGAATCTGCACATGGGCAAGCAGGGCCCAAAGGGACTCTTTCCTAGAGAATCCTTCCTGCTTGGTGCAGAGGGCAGCTCCCTCACTCCTTCCTCAGTGCTCCTGAGTTCCTCATTCCTCACAGCCCACCAACCCCTGTCCATCAGGGACTAGGAAAGAACCTGAGCACAAGTTTACAAGGGGCATGGAAACAGGACCAGAGGGAAGGAGACAGTTAGACCCCGCTGGACAAAGGGAATCAGAAGTCTAGTTCTGAGCCTTGAATGCTACCCCACTCGGAAGAAGCCTTCTGCCAAGCCTAGTCCCTGTCCTGCTGAGCCAATCTTAGGGTCCAGAATGAATAATGGGTTTGTTTCCTGCGGAACCCTCTCCTAAGATGGTGCGGTTTCTGTTGGGGGCTCAGCAGCAAGCCTTTCCTGTGTTTTCCTCTGAGAGGGTTGGAAACAGGAGAGCAGAGAGGAGCCAGGGGAAAGGGCAAGGTGCTGCCCACAGCTCTGTGGTGTTCCTTCAGGTTCGGCCTGCAGCACCCAAGGCCAGCTCGTAGCTCCCCAAGTCCCAGTCAGCCTTCTTGTCTTGGGGGAGACCCCGTCGGTGTGGACCCAGACAGGGTGGAGGTGGGCACGGGGGTCTATCCTGGTCTACTTCCAGCTCCTCATGACGTCTCTGTCCTTGCAGTCCGTCTCCATGACAGCATCTCTGAAGAAGGCTTCCACTACCTGGTCTTTGATCTGTAAGTGCCAGAGCCAAGGACCCTCGCCCTCTGTCACTTCCAGCGTGGGGCCCTCGGCCTCCTCGGATTCAGGAAGAGTTCTGTCCCCACATCAGGCCACTCCTTGAGTTCACCTCTGCAGGGCGTTACCTCATTCCCAGACATATCCAGCTTGCCCACCTCTGACTTGGCTATACGCAGGTTTTTACCCACAAGTCTGTGTCTGACGTGCTGAGGTCATCACGCAGAAAGCTGGGAGGTGGGGCCAGTGGAGGGGAGACCACAGAGAGCAGTCAGTGCCCACGCCCCTTCCTCCCTTCTGAGGCCTTAAGGCTTCAGGTTCTGTCATGCCAGGCACAGCTAGCTGCACGAGCATGTGTGTTTAAGCATGACTGAAAGGGTGTACGTATGTATACACATATGTGTGATGATACGTGAACTTGGGAGAGAGTGTAAGTACAGAGATGGTTTGTGTAAGGTTCATGGGTGTACATGCATGATGTCTGTTTTACGAGTGAGCCTGTGTGTGGTTTGGAGATAACAGGTGTGTATGTGCGTGCATATGTGTGTGTGCGCGTGTTAAGTGTGTTTGCATGAGAGTGTGCAGTAGCTGAGTGAGAAGGCGTTTGGGGCCAACTCCGCCTCTCACTTCCTGCCGGATTTAGAAGCGATGATCTCATCTCCCTTACTCTTGACAGCTTCTGCTAAGCAGACTATATTTAGCTGTCCGTGAATCAGGGCTGCTTCGGGACCCTGGGCTGGGTGGGGGCCCAGGGGCTTTGGCCTGCCCTGGTGGCCTCCAGACTGTACCACCTGGGGAGCCTGGATCTGGTACTGTTACCATGGTTACTGCATGCCCTCTGGCTGCCCTTGAGCAACAGGCTAACTGGGAGCAGGAGGTGCCTTCCTAGGCCCACCTCTGCTCTTCCTCCCTCAGGTGACAGATGTCCAGGCTGGTGGGCATGCAGGCCTTAGTGTCCTCTGTCCTGGTAGGGTCTTCTGGTGAAACAGCGAGGCTGCCCCTTTGTGGAGTTTGGTTATTACTCAGATACCTCTGTGTGTCCCACAAGACCCTGCCTAGAATTATCAGCCGGATAATGCTACAGTCTGCCTGAATGTGTGTCCCGAGACGTCAATCCCATGGCCTGAGGTGGACGGGGTCCACTTTTACCACCCTCTCTTCTCCAAAGACAGAGGCTGCGGATGGAAGGTGGTCCTGTCCAGGGCCCCTGATGGCCAACAGATGGCTACAATTATTGCAGGAGCTGAGAAGGAAAGAGAATGGGGGGAAGGGATATATATGTGTGTGACACATTTATCTCTCAGACCTCCCAAGCTATGCCAGGCAGGCAGCCGAAGGGAGACTGAGGATGGTGGGTCTGGACAGAAGGCCTAACTACCATACCTCCAGAGCCTCCAGTGTGGTGGGCCCTGAGGTGGTCTGGTAGCACCCCAGCAGACCCTCAGGCATTATTAACTTGGTGCTCTGCAGGTTCTGGGGGGTGACTGTACACACGGGGCCTGGGAGGTGACTGAGCACACGGGGTCTGGGGGGTGACTGTGCACACGGGGCCTGGGGGGTGACTGTGCACACACGGGGCCTAGGAGGTGACTGTGCACACGGGGCCTAGGAGGTGACTGTGCACACGGGGCCTGGGAGGTGGACTGTGCACACGGGGCCTGGGGGGTGACTGTGCACACACGGGGCCTAGGAGGTGACTGTGCACACGGGGCCTAGGAGGTGACTGTGCACACGGGGCCTGGGAGGTGACTGTGCACACGGGGCCTGGGAGGTGACTGTGCACACGGGGCCTGGGAGGTGACTGTGCACACGGGGCCTGGGGGGTGACTGTGCACACGGAGCCTGGGAGGTGACTGTGCACACGGGGCCTGGGAGGTGACTGTGCACACGGGGCCTGGGAGATGACTGTGCACACGGGGCCTGGGAGGTGGACTGTGCATGGGCCTGGGAGGTGACTGTGCACACGGGGCCTGGGAGATGACTGTGCACACCAGGCCTGGGAGGTGGACTGTGCATGGGCCTGGGAGGTGACTGTGCACACCAGGCCTGGGAGATGATTTTGTACATGGGGCCTGGGAGATGACATACACACCCGGCCTGGGAACAGAAGCTACAGGGCAAGGATCCCAGCAGTGATTCCAAGTCTCCCACAGCTGCCAGCTCAGTAGAGGTCCAACTCCCTGCCCTGAGACTCTGTACCAGGAAATGGCCCTTCCTGAACACTCAAGATACCTCATGGGGCCTGGGCCTGGCATAGCTCTGGCACCTGCAGGGCATCTTTTGAGCTACAGCTCTGCACCAAGACCTTATGCCATTTTGTCTGCCCAGACTTGACTTCGCAGAGAATGGTTCGAGAATATTTTTTGCTGAGACTCAAGCACTGTCACCCAGGACTGGGGATAGCAGCCCCTTCCCTGGGCTGCTCCTGAACCTGACTCTTCTGTTGTACATGTGTGCAAACTACACGCTTATGGTGCTGCTTTTTCCATTTTGGGGTGGGCAGTTGCTGGCTAGAGACAGATAAAGGAGAGGAGGGTGTGTGGGCAGAAACTACCTCTGTCATCTGTGGTCTCACAGAGTCAGGAACTCAGGCACCTCAGGCCCTCAGCCCACTGTGGAGGCCAGAGCCAGGCACTGGATCCTCTGGACCCTCTTCACCACTGCTAGGCCTCCAATCGGGCCCGGGATGGGAGAGTATTGAAGTGGAGAAACCAGGCCTGGCTCAAACGCCTATGCTGCCTGCTCTGGGGAGACCACTTAGACCTGAGGAACTGTTTTCTCCGGGGATGGCTGTGAGGACGGCAGTATTAAATGTCATCAGGTGTGAGCAAGCATGCCCTTGATAAGTTGTCGGTGTGCTAGGATGGAGGGGATGGTGATCGGGAGTGATGGCAATGAGAGGGTAGCAGTGATGGAGATGGTAGTATTGGTGGTAGTGATGATGAGGTGGTGGCGATGGAAGTAATGATTGTGGTAGTGATGGTGGTGACAGTTATGACCATGATGGTAGCAAATGATGGTGGTCCTGGTGGCAGTGATGGCAGTGGTCATAATGGTGGTGGTGATGGGTGAGGATGGTGGTGACAAGGATGGCCATGGTGGTGTAATGATGGTGGTCCTGATGGCAGAGGTGACACTGGTCACAATGGTGGTGATGGTGGTGGTGGTGATGATGGTGGCGGCGATGGTGATGGTGGCAGTGGTCATAATGGTGGTGGTGATGGTGGCAGTGGTCATAATGGTGGTGGTGATGGGTGAGGATGGTGGTGACAATGATGGCCATGGTGGTGTAATGATGGTGGTCCTGATGGCAGTGGTGACAATGGTCACAATGGTGATGATGGTGGTGGGGTGGTGATGGTGGTGGTGGTGATGGTTGCGGTGGTCACAGTGGTGGTGATGGTAGCGGTGGTGGTGATGGTGGCGGTGGTGGTGATGATGGCGGTGGTGGTGATGTTGGCGGTGGTGGTGGTGATGGTTGCGGTGGTCACAGTGGTGGTGATGGTGGTGGTGGTGCTGGTGGTGGTGATGATGGTGGCGGTGGTGGGCGAGGATGGTGCTGGCAGCGATGCAGGGATCACGGTGATGAGGATCTCCAGGTCCACGACCATGTGCTTTCCTCATAGGGTCACTGGTGGGGAACTCTTTGAGGACATCGTGGCACGAGAGTACTACAGTGAAGCAGATGCCAGGTGCGTCCAGAGCTGCACACCACGCTCCCCTCTCCTGACCTCCAGCTCCGTCCTCTCTGAGCCCCACCCCTGCCCTTCCTGTAACCCACATTTGTCCCCAGAGTCGCTGTCATCTCCATGGCCCTCAGAGGTCAACTAAGCAGAAGTGTTAGCAGGTCTAGGGCTAACTGGGAGCTCTCTGAGCAAGAGGCAGGAGCAAGGCCAGCTGCGCAGAGGTATGGTCTAGGGGGAGCAGTGGACACGCACACTAGGGGGTCCTCTCCTTGTGGTGGCTCACAGGGGAGGAGCCCTAGACATCCTCCTGCTTTGCTCTTGGACATCCCCTCCACAGTCCACTGGCCTCACACAGATAAGCATATCCACATGGTTTTCTGAGAAAGACAGGCCAGGACCCGATCTCTATCCACGATATGCTCTCCTCCCAGCATGATCCTAAGAAAGTACTAGCGGTGCCATTGGAACAGGTGCCGCAGGAAAAGCTCTCGGAGCTCCTGGTCTCCTACTCGCCACACGCCAGGGCAATGGAAGAGGCCAGGGGAGACCTGAAGCCTTAGTGTTAGTGCAGGGCCCTGTGTCCTCCCATCCAGGATGCTAGGCAGAGGATTGAGCCCTGGACCTTTGGGCCTCTGGTGTGCAGGTGAGTGGAGGTACATGGATTCCACCCAGGCCTGGATTCCTTGTGGATATTTGAGGAAACAGCCTTTCTCGAGGCTAGTCTTTGCCGGGACAATGAAGAAGGGTGATGATCCAGAGATGGTTGTTTATGGCACGGTTGCTGGGGTCCAGAAGGCAGGGTGTCAGCTGTGGCCTCTGGATGGGTTGATGGGTTTCTGGGGTCCACATCAGATGCTCCCCAGACTGTATTCTGTCCTCGAGGTATCTGCAGATTGTCACCCCTGCCTGTGGGCCCTGCCTGCCTTTGCCTGGCCCCGGAGATAGATGTGCATTTTAAACAGAAAAGGGTCCTTTCCAAGCAGTCGAGTTATGCTGGTTTTAAATTTTTTATCTTGTCTATTTTAAAACTTGTCTTTAATGAATATGTATTACATCTCTAATTGAGAAAAATGAATATTATTTTTACAGGAGCTTTCTGTGACTCGGTTCTGCGCAGGCAGGCATTCTTGCTTTTCACCCCAGGCCCCGAGTCCCTGTGGAAAGGCATGAGAATCCTGGGTTATCATGACCTCTTAGGTCTTCCCCACGGAGCCAGGCAGCACAGGCCAAGCCACAGAGAAGGGCAGGGTGGGACAGGCCTGTGACCCCAATTCTCAGTGTCAGGAAACTAAGGGTGCAGCTGGGTCCTTCCGTAGGCTCCCTCAGAAAAAACATAGTGTTTTGAAAAATATCCTAGAAGAGGTCTGTCCTGTGGACTGGAGGAAAAATAAAATTTTCCCTTAAATTTTGCTTATAAGAGAAACAGAAGGTGCAGGGGAGCCCCTTTTCTCTGACCTAAAATGCTGGTAAGAAGTGTCAGTAAGCTGGGATGTCCTGCCCTTCCAAGAACCTGCTGAGGTGTCTAGTACTCCTTCTCTCCAGCCCTTGCCCACCTCCATCCATGGGGGGAGGGGGGTCCCTGTAAGCCTTGTCCTCTAACCTGGGACCAGCTTCTACCATTGAGGTCAGAGGCCCAGCCTCAGCCTATCTCTGATTGGTCCACAGCGCCCTCTGGTGTCTTTAAGGCACCTGGCCTGTAGCAGAACTCCCACCCCACACCTCTCATTTCCGGACCCCCAGCCTTCTTGCTAAAGAGGGATGGAGGAATGGGGGACAACCCTGTCCAAGATCTGTTGGGTCCAGAAGGGCTCAAGCCTGGGAGTGGCTGAGAGTTCCCAAGTTCTTAGGCTGTTCAGGTCATAGGCACCTGTGGCCTGGGAGATGGTTGTGCTCTGTGCCCTTGCCAGGCACCTCCATGCCTCCTCAGAGGATAGGAATTCTTACTGCTTCCCAGGGAAACCCTATGTGGAGAGTGTCTCAGTATTTAAGGTTTCCTGGACCTAGCCCTGGCCCAGAAGACATGGACTCTGTCTCACCACGCAGCTCTTCACTGAGCTCTGTCTCTCTGGGATGTGGGAATCCAAAGGAAGGGACACGCTCAGTAGACAGGCTGTGAGGAAGGGTGGGTAACCTGAGTCCCGAGAAGAGAGGCAAGCACTCAAGGAATCCCCATGGAGAGTCTACACCCCACTTATATGACGGCCCCAGTGTCTACAGGGCGGTTCCTCTGCAACCCAGGCTTTTCTTTCTCACTGGGCTGCTCCCTGCACCGAGGGAGAACACACAGCTGGAACTCAGGTCTAGGCCTGACCTTTATGCTTCTGCCTCAGACTCTGGTGCCTAACAGGGAGTCTGCTTAGGCCGGCCCTGTGATTGTGACTCTGCAGCCAGTGAGTCACCCCAGGGTGGATTCCAGCACCAGCTAGGGTAGAACTTGTGCCCAGGTTGAGGGAAGGAGCCCCAGGGAGATGGACCGACATCTCTGGCCAGATGTAGGGGAGGCAGGTTCCTGATGTCCAACAGGAAACAGACAAGAGTGGCTTTTCTGAAACACTTTCTATCCAAGGAAGCTGGAGGTTCCTTTCCGAGTACCGCAGGGCTTTTATTCTGGAGCTTGTAGGGGAACCTTAGAGGTGACCAAGTCTTTTTGCAAAACAAGGAAAACAAAGTTCCCAATTCTGAGACTGATTCTTGCAGGCCTCAGAGGTCAGACGCAGTGGGATGCACCTGTAGGCCCAGCTTCTGTGCTGCTGACTAGGTCCCAGACTGAGAACCATGGCCAGAACCTGGCCAGTGTCCAGAATTCTGGCCACAGAGTGACTTCTAAGTGGGTTAAAATGTTAGGGAAAGTATTGCCTTTGCTTGGTGATGGATGTAGCAATTGGGCCAGAGCCACTTGAGGAAAGGTCCCTAAAGAGAGTGCCCTGTGTGGCCGTTCATGGGTAGCCTGCCACTTTCCTCATGCATCCTGGTACCACATTCTCCTAGAGAGCCTTGGCTTGCTGGCCAGCTTGTTTCTGGGTGCTAGTGACCCTCTCAGAGTGACTGTGAAGTCTGGCAGGGGCCTCCACCTGTGTGAGATCTGGACTATGCCAGAAAGGGAAGATCACAAGCCCAGCAGCAGGGCTAGTGTCTCTGGGCACCTCAAGAGGTCTCTGGTGCTTTCCCTGGGGACTCAGAACCATCAGGAAGGGTGCCTTGGGGGACAGGAGGGTCGGACAGTATGCACTACCACACACATAGTGGTTGTACCATCATGGACAGTACGCCACAGGGCCTGGCCTAGAGCCTTGACTGGACTTAAACGATGTCTCAAGAGACCAAGCTAGAGGAAGCTCACTGAGGAAGGTGCTAGCTCTGGCCCACAACATTGCAGAGACTGCCTCCCACACAGTGGACATGGTTCTTTCTGAACTCAGAAACCTCAGGTTCCTACCCATTAGGATGTCAGGAGTGAGCACAGCGTAGAAAACTTAAATGAATTTCCCCGCACAGTGTTGGCCTCATTTACATATGGCCAGACTCGTGGGGAGGTGTGCTGTTTGAGAAGGGTGCGCTCCATACCCCAGGGAAGCCAACCTTTGGTCACTCCGCTGTCTCTAGGGTAGAAGCCCATGGGACCTGTGCCTAGCTCCAGGGACTACGGGGACTGGGGGCTGTTGAGCACAGGCTACAGAGTGTACATGCACTGGTGGCCCAGAGTCCGATGTGTGAACAGACAGGAAGGGTCTGAGGCTGACATTGAAAGATGTCACTAACTAGGAGAGAGCTGGAATAGCGGGGACACCTGTACTCAAGCTGCCCCCTGGCTAGAGAGGCACATCCTGCACAATGGCTCCTGGAAGCGTGAACTGAGCCGGGCTGGCTGGCGGATGCCCAGGTGCCATATCTGTTAGAAGAAGCACACAGTAATGCATCGTCACTACCCCGAAGCAGACAAGCTCATCTCCGTACTATGGCACCCATGCTCCTGCCAGCTCCACCCTTCCTCGCCTGAGTTTCCGCACTCTCTAGCCCACAGTGCTCACTTACTGCTGGCATCCCTGCCCACAGCTTAGGGTCAGCCTTGCCTATCTCAGCCTTAAAGGGGTAAGCTGGACACCAGAAACTTTCCCTTCAGAGTTATCTCTGTGGATCTGGTTCGAACTTAAGCAGACTTGGGCCCAGAAGAAGAGGCAGAGCAGGGACTAGAATGGCTGCCCTTGGGGCTGAGCAAGGACTCCCTTGTGGCTAGCGTCCTTTCCCCACAATTCCCTACATCCTCCTTGCTCCCCCAGGCTGGGGATTGAACCCCAGTGTTCCACAGCCTGCCTTTCCCCATGCTGCCCCCTTCCTGGCCACCCCCAGACCATTCGACTAACTTGCCTGCTGTTTGTCATAGTCACTGCATCCAGCAGATCCTGGAGGCTGTTCTCCATTGTCACCAAATGGGGGTCGTCCACAGAGACCTCAAGGTGAGTCTCCACCCTGCTCTGTGATAGGTTCTGTCCCCCACACCTACAAACTGTGTGAAAGGAGGTGTGGATAAGAGGGAGGTGGGGTGGGGAAGATGTGTGTGCATACTGTGTGCTGGCATGAAGGAGTGTGAGTACATGCATGTCTGTCTCCGTACAGGGCCACGTGCATATGTGTGTGCATCGAGGCACAGGTGCATGTGTATATCAGTAACTGGGTGTGTGCATGCAAGCGTGTGCATATATGTGAGAAGTAGCTGCACACTTACACCACAGTGCCTCTATTGCTGGAGGACCCAGCCTTCTCGAACCATCCTGTTAACAGACATATACTCAGACTCTCACTTTCTACTCTTCCACCAAGATGCAGCTCTTGAGGGTGGGGACACAGGTGACCCAGGAGAGGTGATGAGAGTAGCTGAGTCCGGCTTAGCCAGCTCCTCTCAGATCTTCTCTCCAGTTCCTTACTGTCCATGGCTAGACTATGGGCTCCAGGCTCTGTTCAAAAGAAAATTTGTAGCTGGGTGTCATGGCTCATCCCTTTAATTCCAGTGCCCAGAAGATTGAGGCAAGAGGCTCAGGAGTTCAAGGCTAGCCTATGCTACATAGCAAGTTTGAGGCCAGCCAGGTCTGCATGAGTCCCTGCCTTATGAAAAGAAAATAATTGACTGCAGACTCTCAGAAACATCCCTCTTTCTCCCTCCCCACTTCTTCCCTAGAATCTCTCTTTTTCCCAAGGCCTGGTTCAGCCTCTTGCTGAGTCCACCTATTTGGGGACAGTGTAGATGCCAGTCCTGACCAGAATGTCTTCAAGGCCAGCCTTCCCCTCAGCATTGGTGTGGACTGGTGTGGTCACTCCTTAGGCTGCAGGCAGGGGCCAACATTTGCAGCTGTTCTGGGGAGGATGCCACACAGTAGACCTGGGATGTTCCCGATGTTCCGGGCATCTCTTCCTGTGTCCTTGCTTCCTTGAGAGTCCTCTCTGTCTTAACTGACACAAGGCCCCTGAGATGGTGGCCCACGTCCCCCATTTCATGAGGTGCAGGCACTCCTTTCCCAGAGAGTAAATGCTGAGGCTGAAGCATAGACGAGGACCTATGTGTCCCCTCATGTCTCCAGTCCTGGACCGACAAGATCTTCCTGTGGAGAGGATATACTGTCCCTCCTTTCCCAGAGAGAAATCCCACCGTCTTGATGAGGCAGACCCACAAATGGCACAGTAGGTTGATGTTACGCGGTCCCTCAAGGTGGGAGAGAGCGTGGTTAGCTGCTTTGTCTCCATGGTGGCTGTGCAGGAGCCAGAGTGCAGCCTAGCCTCTAGGACTCAACCGCTGCCTCCCTCCAAGGTCCTGAATGTCCTGGCCTTGTACCTTCTCAGGCCCCCATCTTCCCCATCATAATTTCCTGCAGGAAGGGGTGGGATCCCAGAGTGAAGCTTGGGGCTCCTCCATGCTCACAATGGCAAAATCAAAATGTGCAAAGCGGAGCATGACTCCTGCTTATCACCAGTGGGGAGGGAGTTCTAGGGGGACTGTAGCCTTGGGTTTGCCAACTTTGCATCCACTGCTAGAGCTCCCGTCTGCCCATAGGCCCAGAGCACTCAACTCAGGAAGCCCACATCCTTCTGTACAGAGTGGACACACTTTGATTCCAAGAGCCACCATTATGCCATGTAAAGTCTCTGAGACAGATAACAAAAGCAGGCCATGTGGCAGTGTGTGGTCTGGCTGCAGTATGATCCCAAGATTGGCATGCCTCTGTTCCTATGAGTTTGCCAAGGGAACCTGAGGGCTAAGGAGTCCCCTGGTGGTCAGGAGCCAGGAACGTCCTGCTGAGCTCTGAGAACTGACAGCCAGAGACCTGCTCCTTGGGGGCTAATGCAGCTGCAGGCACAGGAGGGACAAGCCAGATGCTACTGTGAGCAGAGGCTGGCCAGAAAGGCCAGGGAAAGCCATCGCAGAGGAGTCTCTCAGACTCAACAACACAGAGACAACAGTCTCTCTGGTAGCTTCTTTAGGACAAAACAAATGCCCTCCAGCTGAAGCAAGGATGGTTCTCCTTAAGGAAGCTTTTCCCACCTGTGGATGCAGCCAACCAACTGGCCCATGCTCCCTTTCTGTCCCATGTTGTCCTGTGTGGTAATGCTGGCTGGAGCTGGGTGGGACTTTGCGAACAGGCTGTGCCCCGCAGATAGATGCCCTGGGCTGACCCAGGTGTTGTAGACCCTGGGTGTTCTTCCATGTGCTGTGAACCCCTGAACTCTCCACCATGTCTGAAACGCGAGGGGCAGGACCAGCCCTTTGTCAGTGGGGTAGCCCTGTAGCCCAGAGGTGGGACCTGGTGTGGTTGTTCAAGAGGGTGACCTACAGGTTTTGTTCCCATTTTAGGAAGCAGGATACCCAAGTGCAAGCTGAGAGCCAACTTCCCTTTGAATGACTAAGATGGCTGTCCTTGTCCCCAGAGAGGAATCGGGTATAGCATATAGGTCTAGGACTCAGTCGTGCCCAAGGATACCCATGTTGGGAGGCAGGCTGTGCCTCTCTGTCCAGCCAACTGCCGCTACCTCTGTTTTGTCCCCTGCCCCTCACAACTGCTTGCGGTGTGAACACTGTGCCCTGATGGCTGTCTCCCTGTAGCCTGAGAACCTGCTTCTGGCCAGCAAATGCAAAGGGGCCGCAGTGAAACTGGCAGACTTCGGCCTGGCCATCGAGGTGCAGGGAGACCAGCAGGCGTGGTTTGGTGAGTGTCAGGGGGTGGGCAGGGGGTCCTGGCAGCCCCTCATGACCCTTCATGGTCCCTTCCCCTCTGATAGGATTTGCGGGAACGCCGGGCTACCTGTCCCCTGAGGTCCTTCGGAAGGAGGCGTACGGCAAGCCTGTGGACATCTGGGCATGTGGTAAGACCTGTGTGTCAGAGGTGGTCGGGGTGCATGATGACCGTGTGGCGTGTATCTCAGGGCTTACTCCCTCTGTCCCAGAGTGTGCAGGTGGCCGGCTTACCCTGCCATGAACCAGTCGTGTGTGTCACACCTGCATTTGGGCTGCCTTGGCAGGGCTCTCACACCCTGACTAGAATTACCAGTGTGCCTGCCCCAGGCCATTATGTTTGTCTGCTCGTTATAGGTCTGTGTCCAGAGCCAGTGGACACCAGGATACAGGGACCAGGGGCTGTCAGACCACAGGCTCCTTAGGTGGGACCTTGTCTTTCTGGTGGGCATACAACAGAGGGGACTAGCCAGGCTCCCTAGTGAAGTAGGGTGGAGACGGAGCAGGAACTACAGGCTGTTAGTGCCATGCTCCCCATGGCATGGGGCAGGCAAAGGGACCCTGAGGACTGACCCTGGTGCCCTCCAGGGCTATGCTGCTCACCTCCCCATCCACAGGGGTGATCCTGTACATCCTGTTGGTGGGCTACCCCCCTTTCTGGGATGAGGACCAGCACAAGCTATACCAGCAGATCAAGGCTGGGGCCTATGACGTGAGTGCACCCATGTGGAGGGTGGGGACTGCCACACCCCGGGTCTCCCTTCCTCTTTGTGGCCTCTGCTTGGGGAGGGGCTTCAGCCTTGCCTATGTATACTTCCTCCTGTAGTTCCCATCCCCTGAGTGGGACACCGTCACTCCTGAAGCCAAAAACCTCATCAACCAGATGTTGACCATCAACCCTGCCAAACGCATCACGGCCCACGAGGCCCTGAAGCATCCATGGGTCTGCGTAAGTCATCCTTGGCCATCTCTAGGGTCTAGTTCCTCGTGGGTACATCCAGGGCCCCCAAGATGGCTCTGGGGTTTTGTTCCTCATGTCTGGCCACCCTCCTGGTCTGTGACGGGCAAGACTTGAACTTGAAAATAATTGGGGACAGCAGATGGGAACAAGTAGTCTCTTGTTGTCATGGCGGCTAGCAGTACTCAGTGTGTGGGGCCCTAAAATGCCCCTACCCTGACCATGTCTCCTAAGCCTGCTCCTCACTGCCCCACGACTTCCCTTCTCCCAACAGCAACGCTCCACGGTGGCCTCTATGATGCACAGACAGGAGACTGTGGAATGCCTGAAGAAGTTCAATGCCAGGAGGAAGCTCAAGGTAGGCATGGCTCACCCCCCCATCCCTGTGTCCGCATGTCCCAGTGGGCCCCATCCTGAAGTGGAAGTGTCAGTGGGACCTGGAGACGAGGAGGAAGGAGAATCCCCCAAATCTATGCCTGCTTCCAAGTCCAGATCAGAGGGTTCCAGACGCCGTGGCAGCTCAGAGGGTCAGAGTTTTGCCTGGGTGCAGGGCTGGCCACTTTGGCATCCTGAGGACAGTACTGGCCCAGAGTGGGTGTTGTAAAAGGCAGAGCTGAAGAAGCATCCTGCTGGGCCCGGCAGGCTGGGGAGGCAGGTAGCAGGGCTGACCCTGAGAGTTGCTGTCCAGGGCTGATAGTCAAGGCCAGAGCTAGGACTATGAACCATTGTTGGAGTTTCCCCAAGGTCCCAAGGATACCTCTGACTGCCCTGAACCAGAGGAGCGGTCATGGTGGCCGGCATTCCTGGCTGTGCCTACTTCTCAGGAGTCTGACACTGTGATTTGTGGATAGTGTGAGCTTTAACTGTGGACATGTGACTCACCTCAGTGTAGCTGCTAGGTTCTAGAACTCTTCTCTAGAAGTCTGAGCTGGTTGTGTGTGTGTGTGTGTGTGTGTGTGTGTGTGTCTGTGACTAGAAGCCAACAGGATACAGACACTAACAGGGTGACCCTGACTCTGGCTGTTTCTCCTTAGGGAGCCATCCTCACCACTATGTTGGCCACACGGAATTTCTCAGGTGAGACATTCTTCTCCAGCAAGGACGTGTTTCCATGCTGCCCTCATTCTACAGAAAGCTCCCTCCTTCCTCACCAGCCTCCAGTCCCATTCCTCCAGGCTGGTGGGACCCAACTTCTGTCCTCACCTCTAAGACCCACTTCCAAGAAGGCCTTTTGGCTTCCCTCACTGGGTAGCTCCTGAGGTCTGCTGTGCCCCAGTCCCGCCTCCTCCGTGTTGTTGGGTCTGTGTCCCTCACCTGACACCCCAGTGTCTGTGCTGCCAACACCTGGCCTGCCACCCGCATCCGTCCAAGCGTCTGTTGGGCAGCCCTGTGGCCTTCGTGTCCTTGGCACTCGAAGCATCATGTTGTGTGTGGGAGATAGCTGAAGGCGGGTGGGTGAGATTGAGGTCTGTGCACGGGGAAACTTCGTCAGTTCTGGGTAGGCCGCCTGCCCTGGTTGTTCAGGGTGGGTGATGGGAAAATGAAGTCTCAAGGGTCTGTTAGAGACCCATGGGGCCCACCTGGGGAGACAGTGTTGGCCCTAGTGCCCGGACAGCTGTGTCTGTGGCTTCTCCGTCGTCTGACACTGAGTGTGCGAACGTTCATAATCGTCTCTCCTTGTCCGTCTGCATCTGGTACCCTGCCTCCTGTTACTTTGCTGTGATGCTGTCCTGCCAGGAATGGGCACATGGTCACACCAACACTAATGGGACTGTCCTGTCTACTGTGTGCCCCGCATGCCCCACCGGGCACAAGAAGCCCCACTGGGGTGTTCTAAGGAGAAAGGAGGCAAACGCTTTTCCGTGTCTATCGGCCCAATCTTGTTTCACTCTGCTGAGAAAGGGATTCTGGAGCCACCCCCCACCTAAACTTTAACTCTAATCTTCTTCTGCTTCCTTTGTCTCTTCTCTTTCCTCACCTCGCCCCACCCCGTCTGTGTCCGCCCCCTTTTCCCCCTCGTCTCTAACCTGGTGCTAACAGTGGGCAGACAGACCACCGCTCCGGCCACAATGTCCACCGCGGCCTCCGGCACCACCATGGGGCTGGTGGAACAAGGTAGATGTGTCTTGCCCAGTGTCCACCTGCTCCTGCCCATCCCTCCTGTTGGCATGCAGCCCCCCTGCTGCACGCAGCCACTGGCCAGGCCCCCAGAGCCTCCCCAGAGGCTGGCAGCCCCCGGGAGCTCTGCTCCTGCCACAGTCACATCCCAGCAGAGGCCCCACCCTGGGCAATATGGCTGCCCCGCACTCCTGTATGTCTAGAAAAAGAGAGACCACATCAAACCCAAGATGCATTTGGCTGAGACCCTCAGGTCCTGGCCTCTGGGAGTCTGGAGACCCAATTCAGAATGACACTTACCTGCTGCTGGAGGGTCTCAGTCCTGGAAGGGAAGCCCTTAGATCAGGGTTAGGGAGGTAAGGAAGTCCCAAGGACCTGTAGGGCCCAATGTCTGTTCTTCCCCTAGGACAGATGGATCTGGTGGTCTGTGCTCCTGAGTTCCCCAGAATGTGGGGATAGTGTCAGTCAGTGTCTGGGGCTGGAGGTTCCCTTCTGAAGTCCCTTCTTACTCCATTCCAAACTCCCTGAGAGACTAGGTGGCCTCTGACAACCTGTTCCTTTGGATGGTGTGGGACCCTCTGAGAACTAAGTAACCCCGAGGCCTCATCCTGGGCTCCACAGCCAGCATCCACACCAAGTGCTAGTACATTAGAGCAGCACACAGGCTCAGCCAAGCCTCAGTTTCCCCAACAGCCTCAAGTGTGAGCAGAGGGCAGGGCGCAGGTTTCACAGCCTGAGGTCCAGCCCTTTCCACGGGCCTACCTGGATCCACCTCACAATTCCCAGGTCCTTCTCCTGGGGGATGCTCAGGTCATCCTAGGAGGGGTCCATTCTGCCCACCCTGGACCAGCATGGATGGTCCTGAGTCCATTTTATATAGCCTTTCTGAAGCCCAGGAGGGGCTAAGTTCATTATATATATATAATATAAAAGCTGACGCTAGTGGCTGCCAGGGAGGCCTGTTGCCAGGGGACAGTGGTGTGAGACAGGTCACCTCTGAGCCATGCTCTGCCCAAGATTCCTGCTGCAATGCTCGCCTGCCTGCAAGTGAGCAAGGGCAACCTTGCATGAGGCTGCCTGCATGTTGTGGCTCTGCCCCAGGTGCTGAGGGTCACTCTGTCCTGGAGGGAGGTCAGTGCATGCAAACAGCTCAGCATGGCTGTCCATAGTGACTAGACAGTGGGTGAGACAGAGATGAAGGTCCCATCGACTCCGTTAGGTTGGCCCCACCACACACTAAGGATACATACTGGGGGTCTCCCTCCTCCGTGTCTCTGTCAGACGTTCCAGTGTGGCAGAGACCCTTGGACAGCAGGAAGACCCTCGCTGTAGAGCGTGTTGCAGTCTGGCTTCCACCACCCCTCCCCCACTGAGCGGATCTGTGCCTTGTGACTGTCAGGCTGGCTGTGGGTTGGGTGTAATTGCTTGACCTGAGGCCTGGGATTGAAAACTGCCCTCCTGAGTTGGAAGCGCAGGCCAGAAGAGCCGCAGCTCTAGGCGTCTGGAATCCCGTGGTAGTTCAGTGCACTTTTGGCTCCGGCTGCACCTACTCAAACTGCGGCGTGAGTGGTGGGCACAGGTTCCTGGCTGTGGTGCCATACTTAGTCCAGGACAGATGTGAGTGCTGGAGAGAGACAGCCTCCAGGAAGCAGAGGGCTAATGTAGTCAGTGAGGCTGGGCCATGCACCCATGCCATGTCTGGAGCACACATGGGCTCCTGGTGCAAGGAGTGGGAGGATGCCAAGATGACCCTGATGTCCGTCTGGGCTCTCTAGGCCCGAGCCAGCAACATGGCTCCCCCCGCCGCCCTTCCCCCCTCCCCCGTCCAAGTTTGTGGCATAGCGCATCCACCTGCAAACCAGCGCTGTTTGCTTTCCACAAATAACTTAATCTCCAGTAGCACAGCTCAAAACTGTCGTTTTGATAGACTTGAAGACTTCAATGGAACCCTTCTAAGATCAAGGGCAGTGCTGGGGTCTCTCAGGGCCTAACCTTCCCAGGGGGCCTTTTCCTGCAAGAACCCTCCAAGGATGTCTGGGGGTACCACGGCACCACGACTGACTCTCAGGCCAATATTGACCTTCGCGGGTTCCAGCTCAGAATCCACTAGGGGAAATGCTGGGTTGGCTATATGGTCTGCCGGGGAGGGTGGGGAGGGGCAAGCCTGCTTTCTGCAAACTGCCTGTTGAAATGGCCACGTCTTAGGAATGCTCCTCTTCCCTTGCTGCCCAGAAAGCCGTCACAGGCATCCTCAAGACAGGACTGTCTTACTCCCTCGGGCTCCAGGGGCGAGTCTGTCTCCCGCAGAGAGCAGATGTCTGCCTGCAGCCTTAGCTGTAGAGCCAGCGCTCAGGCCAAGAAAGCCCATGTTGCCGGGGCAGTGCCAGTGTCTCTAGGGATGAGCCGTGTGGGAAGATGGAGAAGAGAAGGAACAGCACCCACAGGCAAACAAACAGCAGCCTGTCTCTAACTCTAGGGAGAGTCTAGCCACAGCACCAGAGGCGCTTCAGGGTCTACTCTGCAGAGATATGGGAAGTCAGCCTTTCTAGCCCTAGGAAGCCCCCTTGGGGATACCTTGGGATTGAGGGCCTAGGGTACCCCAGGCCTGAAGACGACGTGTGAAGGGCAGGGTCATTTCAGAGAGACTGCTCGTAACAGAACTTTTTGAGACAAGTACCTAAAACTCTGAGAGGGGAAGGCTGCCAGAAACCAGTGTGCACCACAGCAGCGGCTTCAGGTAGCCATGTCCCCGTGTCCCAGCATACAGAGCCTGGGCCCAATCAAGTTGTGTCACCTGACTGGTGAGGACAGTGGTCAGCAGGCAGCAGTGGTGCCTGGTTCTGGTCTCTGGGAAGAATGACCCGCAGAGCCACAGGCGAATACAACACCCTTCAGAGTTCTCACTCAAGAAGGTGTGGCCAAGAAGTTTGTGTTTCTGATCACATCAGTGCCATTGCTGCTGTGACGGAAGACTGCGTTTAATTTACGGCCCTAGGTCTAAATGTGCTGCTTCCATGTCCCCACCAAGTCTGCTGTAGGCAGCACAGGTTCCCCTAGAGGGCAGGAGAGCCCAAGCTTGGGTATGGTCAGCCAGTGTCTAGCTGTATGGGATGTTATGGGTAAGGGCCCTGGGGACAAGGGGCTGTGTACCTCCCCCCATGTTGTGCCAGCCATGGCTGCCTCTAGCCCGCTGTGTTGGCCACATGGCTACTTGACTCTTCTTGGGGAACACTGGGCCAGGACAGGCTGGCTTTGCTGCCCCGTGTGGGGCCTTTCTGAACCAACACAAATCTTGTTTTCTCTCTCTTCCTCTCTTCCTTCCTCACTCCCTCCTCTCCTCATCTTTCCTTTTCTGTAAGGTAAGCTGACTTCCTCTCTCGGTCTCCGTTTTGTGTTGTTTTAAATCTGTAATTAAGACGCTAAACTCTGCTCTAGAGGACCTAAGTGCTGGGAGCGAAGGGTGGGGGCAAAAGGAGGGCATCCTGATCTCTGAGGGCAGTGTTGGAACCAAGGGTTCCACCTACTTAGCCCAGGTGTCTGCCAGGGCTTGTGGGCAAAGGGGCCGGTGCTGGCTACAATCACGGCCACCAATGGTCTCATGGCGAGGGTTGCTGGGGCCATTCAAGGGGAGGGACAGGGAGGCCAAGTGGTGCAGCCCTGGTGCAGAAGTTTGTTGTCCATCAGAAGATGGAGGGGCGGGGGCTGGGACTAGCTCTTTGGTGTGACAGCCAGCTTCGGCCCACCACCATTCTAGTGGGAACGCAGGGCTGCAGAGGGCAGGGCCAGGTTAAGCATGATTTTCCCTTTGCATCCTAATACCTACCAATCCTAACCTGGCGCCGTCCTGGGAAGTGGGGGCTGGGGGCGGGGGCAGATAATCCTGCCAGCCTTTCAGGAGTCCTAGGCAAGGGCAAAGAGGCTCTTGAGTGCCTTGCAAGGAGCTTGAGAATCATTGAAGATGCTGGGGGCGGGGTGGTCGTGGATGAGGCTCCCGAGTCAGCCTGGCTCAGCACCCCTGGAGGTCTGCTGCTGCTAGGGCCAGGTCAGATGTCAAGGCTACATCTGCTTCTGGCCTCAGGCTACTGGACCTCAGGTCCTGAGCTTCACTCCTGAAGAAAGGGGAAGGGCAGGGGGAGGGGAGGGGCCTACAGTGACCCTAGGCCCTAAGAACTCACTATCCCTCCTTCCTTCCCAATGCAGCAGCCAAGAGTTTACTCAACAAGAAAGCAGATGGAGTCAAGGTGAGGCACCAAGTAAGCCCTTTGTGGGGTACAGGGGAGGATGCCAGAGCCTGCGGCTCTGCCACTAACCCCAAGGTTCTAGTTTGAGAGGCTTGACCATGCCTTCCTCCACTGATGCTGGCAGGGAGAGTCCCCTTTCTTCCCTAGTGACTCTTCTCCCTTCTCTCCACAGCCACAGACAAACAGCACCAAAAACAGCTCGGCCATCACCAGTCCCAAAGGATCCCTCCCTCCTGCCGCCCTGGTACTGAGCCCCTGCCCCTGCCTCAGCTCACTGACAGGCCTTGCCAGGCAGGGTCTGGTGAGACTGCCTATCTCTGACCAAATCAGTCCCACGTGGGGACAGAACAGAACGGCATAAATAGGGGTTTGAATCCCAAGAGGGGAAGCCACAGTCAGGGTGCCCCAAATCAGGCAGGTGCAAGACTGCTTGGTGAGCCCTTCCCTGGGACCTTGAGGTAGCCGGTGCTGGGGAGAGATCTGGCTTCCCAGCTGGAGTGACTTCTGGACCACTCTGCCTCAAGAAGCTCTAGCAAAAGGCCATCAGGATGCCACGGGGGGGAGGGGGGTTGGCCAGGGGCCCCACTGTCTCTTCAAGGCCCTCAGTTTGTATAGCTGGCTAGTCTAGCTTAGAGGGGCTCAGACTGGAATCTTCAGGGATCATACCCTGGAGTCTAATGAAGAGAAGCAGGGCCATGTTGGTGTGGTGGGGAGGCGTGTGGTTGAAGAAACAGTGGGCTCGTCCATCTGGGACTATTTCATCAAAGCCACATACCGTATTGGTCTGTGGATTACAGGGGAGGAAGCTCGGGAACCCCTGCTGAGGAGGGTTAAAGGGTGTCCATGATACCTACCCCTACTATTCTTTCTTGTTCCTTAAGAAGGCAGTGGGCCAACTCTGTCCTCTGTCCCTCTTGCCCTGGAGGTCACTTGCTCAGGTGAACATCGTGTTCCTGGGGATGTGGAGCTGTGGTCTCAGGCACCAACCTCCTGAGCTGTGGCTCATGGGTCTGGAGTGTGAAGTAGTACTCTGAGTATCCCCCACAGGCCCCAGGCAGGTGTTCCCTATAGGATCTGGCTTTGTCAAACTAGGGGAGCATAGAAGAGATCCATCCTGGCTGTAGTTTGGGAATCGCTCAGAGCAGTGGGGCTACGGCAGGAGAATGCCAGGCGTCCGCTCACCTGGTGCCTGGGGTGGCTCACACCGGCCTCACAGCCAGCCCCACCTTGGACCCCGTCCATCCCATGTGCCACCCCAACCCCCCCACAGCATCTCTAATCCTGCGCCCACTCCCATGCCGGGGCAGGAGGTGGGGAGAACTTCCAGAGCCCACACACACCTACAGTTTCTCTCAGGCCCCGTGAGCTCCATCTTCCCTGGCCTCTGGCCTGGCAGATCTGCTGATCCCGCCATGTTGAGCCTACTCTACCTCCACCCAGGGCCATTGCTGACCACCCGCTGCCTCCATCCCTACTGGGCCATCTTGCTGACTGCCTGCCTCCTCCATCCCTGTCCCTCTGCTCTCCACTCTCTCTGGGCAGACCCTGGTCGCTGCCCACTCCTCTGGCTCCCCGGCTCCCCATCCTCTGCTTCCTTCTTTCTCACTCTCCCTCTCTTTCTTTCCTTCCTCTGTCTGCCGCCCTCTATAGGAGCCTCAAACCACCGTTATCCATAACCCAGTGGACGGGATTAAGGTACTGCCGCCACCTCTCTCCTCGCCCTTTCCTTGGGCAGGAGGTATGGGCCCAGGAGGAGGGTGTGGACGGTGACTTGGGAGAAGCATTTGTGCCTATGGTAGAGAGCAGATAGATGTGTAGCCATCTGATAGCCACAAGCCTGCCTGCCTGGGGCCATGGCAGGGACACAATGACTCCACTGAAGGGAGCTCACACAGCTTCAGGAGTGCCGCCTGCTGCAGGCCTTGGGTTCGGTCTGCTTCCCAGGAGCCTGGTCTCTGCTCCTTGACTGTTCTCCACCTTCACCCCCCCAGTGTGGCCCCAGCGCTTCCTGCTCCTCTCTGCTCTGCCATCTGCTCCCATCCCATTGGCATCATCACATGGGGCCGGGAGGGGCTGGCTCTCTGTGAGGTGAGGGAGACAGGCAGGTCTTAGAACCTGCGCTGGGCTGTCAGGTCAGATGTGGGCTTGGGCTCCCCAACTGTCCGACAAGGTGGCACGGGGGGTACCCCCACTTCCTTAGGCCAGAATCTGCACCTGGCCTTTCTCCATGCCAGGGACCCAGGGCAGCTATATGTTCAAAATGCCAAATGTCTGTTTTCCTCCCACCTGAGTGATGGGTACCCTTTGGGCCCTCTTGTCAGGTGAGGTCATACTCCTCTCTGAGTCAACCTTTGGGCCAGGGTAAGGCCTAACCTTATATTTGAAGGCCCCCAGTTTTTCCTCAGAGCCATATTCAGTCAGTATCTGTACCAAAGAGCTATGAGAGGTTTCTTTGGTTTTCTGGGGACATGTTGGTAGAGAGGTGCTCAGAAGTCAGCCACCACTTGAATGTGGTAGAAGCTGGGCCCTGCTAAAGTTCCAGGCCTAGGCTGGACATTAGGGACCTCATCTCTTCTCGGGGAAGGTGACCCTCTCTTAAAAGCTGCTAACCACGACTGCCCACTGCCTAGGTTTTGGGGCCTTCCATCACTTAAAGTCAGCTAAGTCCCATGTTTTTCCATCTTGGGGTTTCAAAAGGTCTACTCTCAGAGTCGGCCGCGTGTCTCATTGTCTCTTGGGGAAGGTGAGGTTGAAGCCCTTGCTGTTGGAAATATGGTGGCCTGCAGGGGACAGAATGAGCCCCAGGGTGGAAGCCCTCCTGAGAACATACACGGTTAGACCTTTCTCCCCAGTCACTGGGAGGGTCTGTCTCCTGAAATCCTCAGGAGTAGCCAGGCATAGGTCCAAGCTGGAACCCAGGCTCACTCCACAAATGGAAGTGTCCTGCCTGTCCTTGACCACATCTTGACCCCTGTCTCTCTGTTTCCTCAGGAGTCTTCCGACAGCACCAACACAACCATAGAGGATGAAGATGCCAAAGGTACCTGCACAGAGACCTCGCCTGGTCATCTGGGCCGTGGTGTTGGCGGTGGGTGGGTCTTGCAGCATCTCTGGTCCTGCTGCGCAGGCCATGGTACAGAGGTTCAGGGCCCTGCTGTCAGGGTCTGCCTGGTGTGAGTCAAAGCATGTTTGGGACATCGTGGTGGGGGTATCTCAGGCATAGTGCACACGTGAGGAAGTCACAGTTCTCCGTCCTGGGAGCCAGGAACTCGCTTCTCACTGGGTATGAAGTATGTGTGTGATATTTGATCAAGATACAACTTAAATTTCCTAAGCTTCTGTCCATCTGGCTAGTGAGTGGCCAGGTAGCAGAAGTGTTGGTTCCTTTGATGACTCAGGAGCTCCCTCTTGAGGTGGGCTTTTGTACCACACCCTGAGCCCTGCCAGTGATGATGTCCCTAGGTCGCCTGCTATCAGTGAGTGTCCTCCTAGCCTCTCCCACTTTCTTTGTCCCCCACTCCCCAAGAACGAGGTCTGACAACTTCAGGCTGTCCATGGAGCCCTAACCTGCCCTTAGAATGGCCAGATAGAATTGACCCCTTTGCTCCTCCCCAGCTAGGATGCTGTCCCTGAGTGTCCTCCACACTCCTTCCTCAGTCATGTACAAGAGCTGAGACAGAGCCAGGATGGTTCCCAAGGTCACCATGCTCAGTGAGGACCACTCTAAAACCCTAGCCTAATCTTTACAGGGCCTGCACGGCCCCACAAAATGAGCCCTTCTAACACCTATGGGTGCCCCCAAGAGTGACCTCCTCACCTCTGTCCTCTAGGTCCCCGGCAGTGGCCTGGGGTTCTACACTGTAACCTTTTCAGCTGTCCTGTGCCTCTTGGCTCTTTCTGCCACCTTCTGTCTTGAGTGTCTACCATCCACTGCTTGCTTCTGTTCTGCCTCAGCCCCCAGGGTCCCTGATGTCCTGAGCTTGGTGAGGAGGGGCTCAGGAGCCCCAGAAGCCGAGGGCCCCCTGTCCTGCCCATCTCCAGTTCCCATTAGCCCCCTTCCAGCCCCGTGTAAGTAGCCTGGGCCCCGCTGCTGTGGGGATGACTTGGAAGGGCCTGGCAACTCTCTGAAGGGACATTTAAGAGCCAAGGACTGGACAGGCCTAGATTCCTGGCTCTAACTGTACCCTCACACAGCCCTCAGACTGGGGCTCTCCATGGTTGCCTCTGTTCAGCCAAAGGCCTTTATTGGTCTCTGGGGGTGCTGTCATTGCCTCCTTTCCTACTCACGGCCACTAGGTGGTCCCTGAAGGGTTTGGCCTTGACTTCTAGGCCTCCAGAGCCCACCCAAACCTCCCTCTACACCACCTCTGGAGGCTTCTTGCTTCTGAGACTGGCATCAAACAGGAAGCCAGGTCCCAAATCCCCCTGTGGCAAGAACAGGACCCCTTCTTGCCTGCGTCCTGCCAATTCTGTCGTCTCCCCGGGTCTCCTCATATGTCTGTCTGCCTTCTGTTCACGTGTGTCTGTTCCACCCCAGCCCCCAGGATCTCTGACATCCTGAACTCGGTGAGAAGGGGCTGTGGAACCCCAGAAGCCGAGGGACCCCTATCAGTGGGGCCCCCACCCTGCTTGTCTCCGGGTCTCCTAGGCCCCCTGCCCACCCCGTGTAAGTAGTAGCCCCGGGCTTGCTGCCTCTGCTACCAAGGGCTCGCTGAGAATGGCCAGTGCTCAGCTTCCTGCACCTGCCATGCACGGCCAAGCTCCCCCAGACCAGGATGCCCGATGGGTGTCCAGTCTGGCTGGCCTTATCCAAGGCACACGCATTAACACAGCTGGGCAGCTACCTGGCTTCCCCTGGGCCCACCTCTGGCTCATCTCCTTCCTCTACTCCCTGCTCGCTGCTCACCTCACTTCATCTCAGACCCACCCCTGCGTAACTATTAGCCTGGGGGGGCATGTCCCCAGATCATCTCTGCCAAGAGTTTTCTAGCCACTCACGCCCTACCCTGCCCTGGTCACAGTGCCCCGGAGCCTGTCTCCAGAGCAGCCCCTGATTCCTGATGTGCCCTGTCCCTGAACATCATTCACTAACCGAGGCAGGGGAGGTCAAGGAAGGTGTCAGAATGGGAACCTTAACCAGGGGCTTGTAGGTAAGGAGACATTCAGAATAGAAGCCTGGCTTTCCACTGGCCTAGGCTGCCCACATGGGCCAAAACAGGTCCTTCTTCTGAACACCCCTCCTCCCCTCCACCCACTCCTCTACCCACCTGCCAAGACTTCTCCAAGGTCCGTCACTTGCAGCCACAGCCTCTGGCTTCTTGGGGGCCAGGTTGCCTCTCCTTGGAGGGTATCCTCTGCCCATGGCAGCTTCTGGCTTAGCACACTAAAATGGACAAAAGCATCTGCATTCCCGATGTCCCCTTCCAAAATGTTTATGTCTCCCATCCCCTGTGTCCCTGTGACTCCTGGTGCCCTCGCGGCTCCCTCCGGCCTCCCTTACTACCTGGCTTCGCTCTTTGTCTCCTTCCTGCATGATCCCCCCACCTGTATTCACATGTGTCTGTTCTGCCCCAGCCCCCAGGATCTCTGACATCCTGAACTCAGTGAGGCGGGGCTCAGGGACCCCAGAAGCTGAGGGCCTCCCACCAGTGGGCCCCCCACCCTGCCCATCTCCGACTCTCCCTGGCCCCTTGCCCACCCCATGTAAGTAGCACTTCAAGTGGCCCTGGCAGCTCCATGGAGGAGCAAGCCCCCATTATGGTGCATGGCCGACTAGCCTGACTCTGGGAATAACCCAACTTGTGGATATAAGGGCGGGTACAGCATCTGTCAGGTCACAAGATTCATGTCAAAGTATGTGACGAAAGCGGTGGGTTTCAGTTCATGCAGATAGCGGACATAAAGTGTGTGCGTTTATGTGTGAGCTCTTGCATGTGGGAAGGCTTCCCACATGCTTTACTGACCTGGACTCGTTGCTACCATGCAGCCACTGCATTTGGATAGGAGCCGGTGGTGAGCAGGTTTCCACCAGTGCATGAGGAACCCTTGAGAAAGGGCTGCCCGGGTGAGAGTAGACCTTCCCGGACAAGATGGCAGGGAAAGAAACTCCTGGGGATTCTGGCACATGCCAGGCTGGACGTTGGGCAGGGAGGTTGGGGGTGCAGCCAGGGCTAAGGATGAGTTAGGGAGAGAAGCACAGGCAGGTGGCTCTTTCTGCTTGTCTGTCGACTGCCCGCCAGTATCACTTTCAGGGATGGATAACATCCAAGGCTGCAGCCACCGCTGCCCCCGCCTCCAGGGAGACACGGGGCTGGGGGTGGTGCTGAGATGTTCTCAGAGAACAAGCTGCTGGGCCAGGGCCTCGGCATGGCAGGGCAGTGGCTTGGTGAGTAGCTATGAGCGGTGGGCTTGGGGTATCCTACCCCATCACCTCTACCTGTTAGGCCGGAGTTGGGGGATGTTGCAGGTTGCCAGAGCAGAGAGGCGGTCACAGCGGCCCGCAAGGGTGGGCATCCACAGTTTGCAGGTTTAGCGGGGTAAGGGGGCAGCCTCTGGAGGGTGTGAACCCCCAGGGCGCTCCATGGTCAGCTGAGGGGATCAGAGGTGAGTTGTGAGGTGCTCAGCCTAGTTATTTCTGGGGGTGGGTTGAGGGGCGGGGCCAGGGGTGGATAACAGTCAGTACTCACAAAGCATGGAGGGGATGCTCTCCACTGGTGGGTGCAAGACAGCTTCTGGCCAACACTTGGGTGCTCTCTCTCGTCTGATCTCCAGGGCCACACTGTTTTTGTTGGGGGTCAGCCTGAAACATGATCTGCATTGGGGGTCTCTGCAATGGCCAGGTGGTCACTCTAAGGCCAGGTCTGTGGGGAGCACCAAGTGACCTCGTCACTTTAGAGGCTAAGACACTGATCTGCCCTTGTAAGGTCTATGCTGAGCTTGGCTAGGGAAAGGGGTCCTTCAGGAGGGGGCTGTGAGAATGACTGGATGGTGGCATCTGGTCATTCTGCAAGGGGCTGGGCAGAAGGAAAAGACATTTAATAAAATACAGGGACACGTGGGTGACGTCAGATGGTACTGGGCCCCCTCTCTCCTGGGAGGGTTACAACCCACCAACTAGGTTACAGGTTCCCATCAACCCTCTTCAGGCTCAAGCCCCTCCCCACCCCATGCTCTCCGTACCCCAGGCCTCACTTCCTAATCAGGGATTACACAGGATTCAGGCTGATCCTGGCTGATCCCTAGTCAGCTGCTCTGCCTGCCAGCTGTGCAGGGTTTGGGGCCAGGGGAGGGACACAAACTTTCACTGGTCCCACCTGGATGCTCTCAGCCTAAGGGCTGCTTGACTTCGCATAGGAGTGCTGTGGACAGAGTGAGTCTCCCGCTCTGGGCCCCTGTCAAACCCTGCCCGCCTCTTTGGCTTCTTCCCTAGACTTCTTCACCTGGGTTATCCCCGTCTGAGAGCTTCTTGGCCCCTCCCTCACGTCTGATTTCCACTGGTGTCTGGGCAGCAGTTATTCTGCAGGTCAGGAGGTGTCCAGGTCTTGTTCATAGGCAGCCTCCGCTTCCCTGAGGGTCAGATGGGCCCAGTGGCTCTCACAAGAATTCTGACTGGTGCTGTGTCATGGATCTCCTATTAGTTGATTTAACATTGGCGCCCACACCCTAATTCATTATTAAGTGGAAAATTAGTCCACGTACCTCAGTGGAAGGCAGAATCTTGAATGCTGGAAACCAAGCAGTAACGGCATTTAGTTCTAGCCACTTCTGCCGTGTGCTGAGGGACTCCTCTAGAGGAATGGGCCAGTTGAGCCTATTAGAAAGGGATTAATGAGCCTCAGGGGATACTTGGGACATGTGAAGTGCAGAGTGGAAGCCTGGTTTGGGGAAACAGCTGGCCACAAGCCTGAGACATCTCCAGAAGGAGCAAATGGGAGGGGGTGGGTGCCAGAGTGATGAGCCCAGGGAAGAGCAGGTACTGCTCTGGGGACTGGAGTATCAGGTGCTGCCCTGGGATCCAAAAGGTAAGAACAAGAAGGGCTGTTCCATGCTCAGGATGAAGCCTTGGTTCTCTCCTAGAGTGGGGTTCATAGGCGTGTGGTTAGAAATGGGAACAGGAAGAAACGGGGCTCTGGAAGTCACAGTCCACCGCCTAGACTCAGCATTCTAGGATCCCTGTTTGAGGTGCTGGGTGACGGTGATGATCTTACCCTGAGTTCAGATGGCCATATGATTTAGACTCAAGAACAGGGCAGAAACTGAAGATAGCAGAAGGGGAGCTGGGTTAGGACAGGATGTTTTTCCAAATTGGGGTAATCCCATGGGTGCAAAGCATACACCCACACACGCTCACACAGCATGCATAGACACAACACAAGGACACTTAGCATGCATCTCTTGAACAAATGTGTATGCATGCAATACAACCTCTGCTGCCAACGTCTAGGACATCGGAGTAATCCCAATGTTCACAAGGAGAGGCTAGTGTCCTCTGCTGGCACATACATGGATGGCATTCCCATGAAGCAGGCCACCTCTTTGTTGTGGATTCAGTCCTCCTTCAGGACACCTGATGGGGTGGGCACCCAGACACCCACTGGTACTGAAAGGCCTGCTGCAGGATTATTCTCGATGCTTTCATGTCTTACTTTCTTCTTGGTTAAAATAAAAGGTTCATCACCTCAAAGCCAAGAGCTAGTGCTCAGGAGAAGCAACGGGGCTGAGGGCTGCAGACACGAAGGGTGGGTTTTGCTAGCACAGCACAAGGCCCAGGGCTACAAGCAGATGAGAGGCTGGGAAACTGAAGAGAGCGGTGAGAGAGGGTTCTGAAGAGTACCCAGCCATCCTGTCCTTCAGCCTTTGCCCAGAAGCCACTCCCACTCCCACCCCTAATCATATCCAAGGAACCCTGAAGCCTGTGACCATGCCTCCTGATGGTGGCTCTTCTCCACCCAAGAACTACTGGGGGAAGGAGTTATTAAGTGGGCACGGCACTGTTAGAAGATGAGGCAGAACAAGCCGGGGGAGAGACAGAATGGGAGTCCGGCGTTATGGCTAGCAGATACTGGGAGGTGACAATGGCGTGGATTGTGGGCAGGCTTTTTCCTCCTTTCTGCATTTTTGAAGACATTTTCTAATCTGGATAGAGTATTTGCCTCTCAAAAAACACTGTATTTGATAAGAAACCATTGCATGTGGAAATGAGGAAAGTGCTGGCGGCACAGGGCGCAGGGTAATAGAGACACTGGGTACAGGTGCCAGAGACTGAAAGTCCTTTCTGAAGAGGACAGACCTGAGCCAGGGTGGGGGCAGCTATGTGGATGCTGCTTGCAGCTCTCGATTCCCCAAGGCCGTTTACCTGGGCTCTGCTAGAGCTGGGGGTCATCCCTGTTCTCTCCCTGCAGCCCGGAAGCAGGAAATCATCAAGACCACAGAACAGCTCATTGAGGCGGTCAACAATGGCGACTTTGAGGCCTATGCGTGAGTCTCCGGGGGGGTTGGGGTGGGGGGTTGTGGAGGGTGAGGATGGAGGATGGGGCCCCTCCTCACTTGGGTTTGCCCCCCAGGAAAATCTGTGACCCAGGCCTGACCTCATTTGAGCCTGAAGCTCTGGGCAACCTAGTCGAAGGGATGGATTTCCACAGATTCTACTTTGAGAACCGTGAGTGAGGAAGTCAGGGTGGGCATGATGGGGAGACACCCTCAGTCAAAGGAGAGGGCTGTGGCAGCCCCCATGAAGGGGATTCAAGGTGGAGGGGTGGGAGGTGTTTGTGTCTGGTGCCGTCAGTGCAGAACACCCACTTGTCCGCAGTGCTGGCCAAGAACAGCAAGCCGATCCACACCACCATCTTGAACCCGCATGTGCACGTCATTGGTGAGGATGCAGCCTGCATCGCCTACATCCGCCTCACACAGTACATCGATGGCCAGGGCCGGCCCCGTACCAGCCAGTCTGAGGAGACCCGTGTGTGGCACCGCCGTGATGGCAAGTGGCAGAACGTACATTTCCACTGCTCGGGCGCTCCAGTGGCCCCACTGCAGTGAGGTGAGTGCCCGGGGTGTGGACAGATAGTGTGTGGGGGACCTTGGCAGGTGAGCTGGTCAAACCAGAGATGGAGCCAGGGATAGTCAGAACTATTAGCGCCCATGGCAGGGGCTGCCTCTAAAGGGTGGAGTAGCAACTGCTTCTCCTGGCAGGCCCCGTCCTGAAAAGACATGATGGTTCTTGCCAGGACCTTTTCCAAATAGCAAAGGCTTGGGTCCTCAGGGTGTGGGTGATGTCCTGAGGAAGGTGACCCACCGCCCCCACCCCGCCCCCCCGTTTCAGAGCTGCGCCTGGTTTCACCGGACAGAGTTGGTGTTTGGAGCCCAGTCGCCCTCGGGCGCACGGCCTGCCTGTCGCATGTTTGTGTCTGCCTCGTCCCCTCCCCTGGTGCCTGTGTCTGCAGAAAAACAAGACCAGATGTGATTTGTTTTTAAAAATAAGATGATGACAACGACAACCACACGCAAAAAAAAGGAAAAAAAAAAAAGAAAAAAAAAGAAAAAAAGAAAAAAAATTGGCATCGGATGAAATGGAAAAAAAAAAACGAAAGAAAGGAAAAAGCTGTAAAAATCTGGCATTTGTGGGGCCACCCCCACCCAAGCTCCACATGTGTCTGTTGCGCTCCTGGCTTTGGGGACCCTCAGGGCGTGAATGTGCCCGTGCTGACCGTGTTAGTCTGTAGGTACCGCACTCACCCCACCTTGGGCGTCTGCATCCTTCCTCCCATGCATGGGCCCCACATGCTAACCTGGCTGTCCTGGTGTCAGGTGTCTTGGGAAGGGCTGGGGGCTGCCTCCTTTCCTGCTAGTTGTGCCTGAGAGTCGCTGCTGTCCCTGCTTTCCCTACCGTCCCTCATCCTGTGCAGGGCTGGGTGGGTGCTCTTCTAAGCCAAGGAGTTTGCCCCATGGAGTGCCTGGCAAGGGTTGGTTGAGAAGGCACCTAGCTCTGAAGAGAGGACTGGCCAGAGGATGGCCTCCTTCCTGTTTGGGGCACTTGTCCCTTCCCTGCCACCAGCAGCAGAGCAACAGTGACCCACCCCTGGCCTGGACAGACCCTCCAAGGACTGAGAACCTGAAATACTGGACGAATGCTGGGAGTAGGCCTTACTGTATCTGGGATGTTTTGCTCACTGAGCTTGGGGTCTGGGTGCTCGAGTCTTGGTCGAATGATGCAGAGTGTGGTAAAGAAGGGCCAGATGATGGGTTTTAGGCTCCGGGCAATGCAGGGCCACACAGGTGTTTGGTGAAGTAGGAATGCCCTCCTAACCTGGGCCTGGAGCGGAAGTCAGAACATGAGCCAGCCAGGGGCACATGGAAGGACAAAACTGGTTAGGACTGTCGTGCGAGGCCTTCCCGGTGGGCCAGAAGCAGCCCAGAGAGAAGGCAGGCTGGAGGTAGGGCCTGGACAGCAGTGGGTGGAGGGAGGGTCCATTAGGACGGTGTGCCACCTTCTGGGCCTGGTGGTGCTCCTAGGTACCGACTGCTTATTGTGGGTGACCCTGGCCCTTGGTGAGAGAGGGAGTCACGAAGAGGCTGGCAACATTGCAAAGTCAGGCTAGGGAGAGCGGTGTGAAGCAGGTTTGGGTGGGGGTGGTCGGGAGCTTTGATTGCAGAAGTCCAAGGGCCTCCACCCAGTGCTGCCCACTTTAAATTCACATCATTTTCAACCAGGATTTTCTTTATCTTCTACAAATCAAGCCAGGGGAGGGGCATGAAGTGGGAACGGGACACAGGATCCTAAACTCCAAGGGGACTGTCCACCTACAGACACTCAGTGGATACCACCTTTCATCCACACTGTGCCCAGGACAGCTGTCTCCTACCCATGGACACAGGGTAAACATCTGCCAGGCTCCACTTGAGTGGCCCAAGGCCATGGAGTGGCAGGGCTTGCCACGAACAGTGTGAGGCCCTGTGACCAGCCACCCTGGCATCCTGGGGTCTCCTTCCCTCTCCCCACCCTCCTTGTTATCTCCACAAAGCTGCCTGTCTGGGATAATTTGGGGATTTTTTTTTCTGGGGGACAATTCTTTTGCATGACCCTTTAAAGAGCAGGTCACTCCTGCTCCGCTGGCTAGGTGTTCGCGGGTGGTGGCGTCGGCCGCTGGCCAGTGCTGCAGCGTGTCGCTGCCTGCAGTACTGGCAGCCCCTCCCTCTTCTCTTTTTGCTGAGTTCCATTGTCATTTCTTTCTGAGCCTTGTAGGTGTACAAAACTTATTATTTTGTTCTGTCTCGGGAAACTGCAAATAAAAAAAAAAAGGACAACTTGCTTCTAGTACAGCTGAGTGGTTTATGCTGGGACCCAGCCAATTCCCTGCTTGGTACAGACCCTGCCTCCCTAGGCTAGATGTGGTCAGAGTGGAAGGACATGGGGTCCAAAGCCTTGTTCTTGCCTCTCATCCCAGTCACCAGAAGGGTGGCCTGCAGAAAGGGAAGCACCCCAGGTCCAAGATCCAAGTGTCCTTGCTCCTCTCATGATCTTCCAGTTTGACATGCTGACTGTTCTAGACATGAAGTCATGTGTTAAGTACCCCCCAACTCTGCCCCCATGTGCTATGCATACAGCAGTGTAGTAACATGGTAGCCATCATGGGTGGTTATTGAGGCTTTGCAGAGGCTTAACCTGGAGTCCAAGTCAGAGATCTTAACCATGAGCAGAGGCATCCAGGAGTCAGAAAAAAAGCCAATCAAGACCATGGCCGGGTGGTGGGGTCTGTAGGCCAACTTTTTATGGCTACAAAGCAGACAAACTCCCTCCCCAGGCTCTCCCCTGCACCTCCACCCTGAGCATAGGGCAAATCTTTCTCTGTAATCTGTGCTGGTCCTGTCCTGTCTTCTAGCTTTGCTCAGAAGTCTGCCAAGATGAGCCCCTATACCCCCGGTCCACTAGGAGTAGGGAGGCCCAGGGGGTTCAGAACTGGCCACCACTCCCAACTGCCTGCCTCTTCTCTCTTAAGCATCTGTTTCTAAACACTCCACTCTGTAAAGGAGGCTACTGATGTCTACTGTTCTCTGTGGGCTATACCTAGGAGGGGCTTTCAGGTATACGGGCAGGCAGGCAGTGGGTCTCAGGAACGAATACAAAGAATCTAGGCCAGTGTCCACAGGTGCAGCAGCAATGGGCCCTCTATCTAGGGTTCCAGACAACCTATCAGCTGTAATCGGAGGAGCGTTTCCAGGCCAGCCTCCCTCAGGAAGGCAACAAGCTGCAGAGCGTGAGCCTCCCCCATGCATTATTCCTGAAGCCTTTCTGTGGATGTTGGACAGCAGGGCAGTACAGTATCCAGGGTTAACCGTCCCATATGGGACCGAGTACTACAGGCCAAGGGATTCCCTTGAAGTACGTTTCATTCATTGTTTTTACTTTGAGCAGAGCTCCTTAGGCATCTGTCACCCAAGAAGGGTCAGGGCACTCTGAACTCCACTGGGTCCACAGATCGGGAAGAGGTAGCACAATGGATCCAGGGCTGCTTGCCCAAGTCAGGCAGGAGTCTCTGACAACCAGGACACCAGATACAGGCTAAAAGCAAGGCCTAGCTGACTTGCTGAGGCTGCAGATGCCTCAGGCCACAAACTGCTAGCCACTGGGGCCATTCCAAAACTCAAAACCACACTCCAGATTTGAATATTCCCATCCTGACCCTCACAAGTTAGTTGTGTCCCTCGGCTCAGGAGTCCCCACAAACCCTGGAAAGCTAGGTGGTATAGAGGCAGCTAACAACTCAGAAACTCAGGCAAAGGAAAGCCACCTTCCTAGAGCTCTATTGCTAAGAGGCAGCTCTCCCAGGCGAATTCTTCAGTGTGCAGAGAACTGGGTTCTGAGATGGCAAGGCTACTCCAGAGCTCCCTCACCTGGTTACAGTAAACAAGGAAATAGGATTCCTACCAGGAAAGCCTGGAAATTTATCTGGGACAGGATTCTAGTACCTGCGGGAACAAAGTACCCGGTATCTCCCTACCCTTCAGTGGCTGGGTTGGAGACAGATTTCCCTGAAGCTAAAAGTAAACACAGGACAATACTGGAATTTCAAAAGACAATTTTATCTAGACAGAAACCTTCAAACAGAACAGAGAAATTAGGCATTATTAAAATACACTTTTGCCAAGTGATTTAACATTAGAATATAATGGGGGGAGGGACAGGAAACACATGGCAATTCTCCATTGAAGGGCGAGTGATACCCGGTAGGACAGCCATAAGGGTGAAAGTTGCCTCTTTCCAATAAACGTCTGCCTCCACCACCCTTCCCCAGCACCCTCCAGAGCAAGAAAACAGGCGCACCCAGGCCATTTACTCCACCTGTGCTGTCCAGGGCCCTGGGACGGGAGGTCTGTGACAGCAGGAAAATGACACAGGCAGGCCACTCCAGGGGGGAGCCTGAGCCCTTTGGCTAGCAGTACCCAGAGCAATAGGCAGATATACTATAAGTAAGGATTTTGAAAGCCATAGTAGACACCCCCTCCCCATATGGACACTCTTGAGGGTAGCTCAACAGGCTCAGGGCAGGGATCATCAGAGTAAGACAACTCTGGCTCAGAACTCATGGAGGCTAGCATCCCAGCAGTTGCTTCTGGGGAGACAGGCTCTCACGACATACTCTGTGCACAGCAGAACAGGAAGAGGCCATGTGGGACCCAGCACATCCTGGGCTCACCACACAGACTGTGCTGGCAGTGGGTGCTAGCTCACACCAATCTGTCAACATCTTCTACCCTGCGGCTGTCTCTGATTGGGAAGGGGCTGTAAGCCAGAGCTGGACAGAACACAGTTGGGTGCTGGGACCCTTCGGGCTGCTGGCACCTGTCCCTGGTACCCACAGAAATGACTTGCTCAAACATGTAGGCCCCAAGCAGTTGCCAAAACAGTCTTGTAGACAGAGACAAACAAAACCAGCTTTGAGAGATGACAGCACCCACTACTTCAATCTTAATGTCAAAGTCCAACCGCAAGTCACGGCGCGTGTGCCTCCACACTGGACAGCTGAGGGCACCTGTGTCTGCGTCTTCCCTTGAAGATGGACACTCCCAGCTGACCCTCCTGACACCAGAGCATCCCCAGTCTGAACAGTCTGCTGGCTGATAAAACCACAACTCACACATCTTGCCCTTCTAGCCCATTCTAAGTACCTCCCACAAGTTTGTGGCACTGGACGAAGGTACTTAGGATGGGCCCTGTTCCTGGCAGATGCCAATTCTAGCAGACAGTTAAGTCAAACAGAGGGGATCCAGTGACCACTTTGACAGTCCTCACTCATGGTGAGCTTCTCCCAGCCCCCACAGTGCAAGAGACTAGAATTCCGGAGTGTTCAAACTCTGCCCACCCAGCCCTATCACCCGAGACCCCCTCCCCCCACCCCATTCACTGGAGAGTTAATATCGTTAATGCACAAATTAAATCCTAAGTCGCATCAAGGATCAGGAAAAAGATTCCCTCCCACAGAGCCTTTCAGGGTTAGCTGAGAATAAGCCCTTCAGCACCTATAAGAGCCACTTAGAGTTTATGGTTTCATTTTCCCAACATTACATCTTTGAGGACCTCAAATTCTTTCCCGAAGTCATAGCCACACATGTGAACGTCAATGTTCCCACCCTTAAGTCATCCCTCCATTCCTCTTGAGAACATCAAAATAAAAACAGCCAGTCTGCCTGGCTCCAGATCTTCAGGGTATCGCTTCATCTGCAGGAGTTGCAGTCCTGATGTGACACGACGATCCAGCGCCTGCCTCTGTGGGCCACATCACATGATTGCACAGCATGAGTTTTGTTTCCGGGCCTTGAAAGAAAAAGAAAAAAAAATAGGATGAAGGGTGCCAAGGAGGGCCGGAGGTCTCCAGGGTGCTGAGAAGGGCTGGAGAGTGAAGGCCTTCAGTGGACAGAACTCCACTGAAGTGAGCAGACAAGAGAAAGCAAAACCAACTACAAGGATGGCCCTCAGGGCTTCGAAAGAAGCTGCCCACAGTGACACTGCTTCCATTGCTAGTCTGGGCTCCTTACATTTATTTCACACCCCACTAACGCTCTCAATAAATTCATAAAGTTCCTGATGTCACACCATGTATAAGCAAAAGAGGCAGTAATAGAAATTGGACTGGCTGAGCATCTCGGTGCTATTGTACCTGTTCTCACCCACTCATCAAAGGCCACCTCCTAACCTCACTGGTCATCTTCCTCCAATATGCAACTCAGCGTAAACACCACAATGGGCCAAGAGTACAATGTTGGGCTGAGGAGAGAGCTCAGCAGTTAAGAGCACTGGCTGCTCTCCAGAGGGTCAGGATTCAATTCCCATCACCCACATGGCAGCTCACAACCACCTCTACCATCAGGTTCAAGGAATTCTATGTCCTCTTCTGGTCTCTAAGGGCACCAGGCATTTATGTGGTATACATACATACATGTAGGCAAAACATCCATACGCATTAAACAAAACACGATGTTCACAGTTAGGAATTTAAGTAATGCCTGGAGAGAAACTCAGTCAACAGAAGAGCCCTGCCACTAGGAGGGAAGTGTGGTAGAGAACTAACAGATGTAGAAAGGTGAGCGCTGGCATCTTAAGGACTAACGCCTAACTGCTCTGCCAACAGAGGAATCAGAATGGGAAATGGGTGCTGGCTCTGAACCCAGCCAGGTATAACCTCAGTCAAGCAGAATGCCTGAGTGTAAGCTGCCAATCACTGAGGCTTAAGTACTTTAGACTCCCACACTCCAACGCCAACGACTGGTACCCCAATCCAACCTTGGTTAAATAAAGAGTGCCAGAGAACAAGCTGCAATGGCTCTATGGGAGGGGATACCCTGGGGGGCCAGGCAGCGCTACTCACAGTTTTATAGAAGGCTTTCGACTGTGTTCCCAGTACTTCTGATTTGGATACCAGGTCATCAAGCTTCTCGCCTCGCTCTAACAAAGACTCCATGGTGTTATGCTAGACAAAAGAGAGAAGTTAACTGGCTGCTGACGACAGGCCCTGACGAAGGCTGAATGGCTAGAACTACCTCCGCTGGGCCCCAACAGACACCAACAAGCACTTGGACACAGTCAAGCCGATAGGACAGGGCCTCGGGCCTTCCCATAATTCTCCCCAGCACAGATTCAGTTAAGAACTGCCCTAGGAAAGCTTGTATTTGTACTTGGGGGCTGTAAGCATGCATGTGCAGAGGAAGACATACATGAGCACTACATGACTCTACTAGGATGGGTAGTGGCTACCCAAAATTCACATCCACCCAGAACCTCTGAATGTGACCTCATTTGGAAATAAGGTCTTG